ATTATTCCTTAGTCTCTGTGACATATTAGGAGGATTTTATGACTATTTGCTTTATATTTCTTACATATAGCTCCTTTAACCTAATAGTGGATGCTGTTCATCTATAGCCCCAAAATAGATATTTTTTACTACTCTTGTGGGTTTGCCTACTCATTAAATATCAACTATAATTAGCGTAATTACCAAAAATCCAAAAATCAGGTGATGTATTGGCACTCGTAACAAAAAAAATTATTAGGCCCTACACATAATAGGTAGTTTTTGACACCTGCATTTTGTCTGTAAATTTTACCATGGACCATGTGAACACTGAGATACACCCATGTAAGCTGATTTTTAAAAGAGCAAACTCAGACTCCAAGTTTAAATCTTTAAATATTTTTATTTATATAAACTCTGAGACAAACCAACATGACGTCTGTACAAATAAACCATGAATTTCAATCCCAATGCCAGATTTTTAATGTACTTATTTTACTGGTGAATACTACTCATACACTCCTAAAATTACACATATTTACAAGACATCAAAACTTGTATTTAAAATTTTAAAAAAGTTTCACAGTATTATCCATTTTTAAAATTTTACTGCTCTATTATGAATTACCAGCTCGCTTTAAAATACTAAAAATATCAATCACACTCAGAAAAAAAAACTTTAAATCCCCCCAAAAATACTGCAACAAACTTTCAAATCACACAAGCAAAAAAAATCAGTTCAAGTAAGCATTATGAAAATATATTCTTGACAGTTTCCAGATTGACTTTTGCTGAGATCATTTTTTATTTATTAAGAAAATAAAATTAATTACTGCTATTGTATCTGACTCATTTTTATCATTCTAACACTGCAGTGATTTATCTGAAACTTTTTGCAGTTCCCAGGTGGCATTACTTATACAGTTTTGATTTTTATTCTTTTCTTTAGCAAGATATCAAAGTTTGGTTTCTCATTTAATCTTAATTCTTGAGTTATATCAACATTCTTTTTTACAACAGTGTCTATGTGGCAGATAGTTATTAGTACTGAATTTTTGTTATTAGGAATTTTAGCTCACAATAACTACTGCTTTCTAGTCAAACAAAACTATGAAGGAATGTCACCATGCTGAACTGTAAAAAACATAAATAACATTTTGAGTTTTGTCCTGATTTATTGATGCCATTCCTCACCCTGATAAGTACAGGTGGTACATGAATTATATTGAATTCTCATATTTCATTTCCATGTACTGAAAAATCTACCTATTTATTTTAGCTTTGTAGTTTCTCACAAACACTTATCGCTAATTTCACAAAAAGAAATATCTAAAAATGTCAATGATATGTATTTCTGTGAGGGTTTTGTGTAAATGAGATGCTTTCATCACACCAGCCCCGTCTCCTAGAAATTATGTTCATATTCAACTAATTAGAAAAAGCAAATAAAACTTTGAGAGAAATGTAACGCCAAGCGAATCAGGTTTTCTATTAACATAATGAGGAAATGTTGCTTATGAACGTACCAGGCAAGACACAAAAATGTTCATGCTGAACCTATCAGCAAAACAACTGACAACATACTTCTTTTGTTTTCCACCAAAATAGGCAATCTCGCCACACACTATCCACTCCTTCCTTTTTTTAACTACAGCATTCTTTTTTTATTTCTACCTTTTTCATTCATTCATTCATTCATTCATTCATTCATATTCTGTAACCACCAGAGGGGGGGGGGGGGGGCTAGAGCCTATCCCAGCTGACACTGGGTGAGAGGCAGGGTAACCCTGGACAGGTCACCAGACTATCACAGGGCTGACACATAGAGACAGACAACCATTCACACTCACATTCACACCTATGGACAATTTAGAGTCACCAATTAACCTGCATGTCTTTGGACTGTGGGAGGAAGCTGAAGCACCTGGAGGAAACCCACTCTGACACAGGGAGAACATGTAAACTCCACACAGAAGGGTTCCCACAACTCGGGGTTCAAACCCTCTTTCTGTGAAGCGACAATGCTAACCACTGCACCCACCCCTTTTCATTAATGTTTAACCCAAATCATGATCTTTTCTTAACCTTAATCAAAGTTAGGATGCGGGTCTAAAATTCTTATGTCACAGACCTACAATCTGTGTATCCGCCATTAACCTGGAACACCTCCTGCGAATCCAGCGCGGTACATAAATGTTTTGTGATGTGATTACATCCTCAACATAATTATGAAAACAGATTACAAATTTACAAACATAATTTCTCTGAGACAGGGTTGTTCACACACACACACACACCTAATACTCCTAGTTGTCATTATCTTGTAAAGTGCAAACTGATGTGAACAGCACGATGTTAAAACAGACCGGTAACATTTTTCTTTGAGCTGCTTGACTTTAAACAGACGTGCGGCATCATGAAGACATTCCTTCATAACGTCATTACTGAATTTCAAATTCAAAGCAGCCCAGTTTTAGTGTTACCAGATAACAAAAGCAAACATAAACCCAGATTTTTTTCTACCAAAAAATTAAAACAACTCTTTACACAACTTACAATAAATAAAGAAAAAAAGCAGACTGATTTGCTTAGATTAATAGACCACTTTTTTTTCCATGTTTACATTTTTCATCATGGACACACTTTGACAAACATTTACACACATTTGTTTTTTATGACTACGAGCTGGTTGCCCAAAGATTTGTTAAACTTTTCTACTGTGTTCAGTCAGTCTTAGCTTTGTGCTCTGACTAGGGCTGCAACGGTATGAGATTTTAACAGTACAATAACTATATCAGAAAATATCGTGGTTTTACAGTATCATGGTATTCCAGAATTTTTATTATGATCAGTCAGAATGACCCTTAAAGGAATGAAAACAGAAGGGTTATTGTTGGCTGAACAACATTTCATTACTAAAATTGAAACTTGAAACCATTTTGTGCAATGGAAGTTCGTGTAAAAAGTCTCCTCATAGAAAATAACTAAAATAAAGGGGAGATTCAACGTCCAGTTGCATTTGTTTTTTCAATATCGTAGATAAGCAAATGGCAGTATTATAACTGTCAACTTTTATATCATGGTATAACCTGGAACCAGTATATCACTGCAACCCCAGCATTGACAAGTACTTTCAATGTTCTTGCATTTTGTAAACAGTGTTAAGCCAGCAAAGGGAAGAGAACACTAGAGGGCTCCTGAAATAATTTATTTCATCACTCATCATTTGTTTCTCAGAAAAGCAACTAGAAGAGTTTTATTGGTCAGCCATGTTTTATTTCTAAATTTCTTAATCTTAGTACACAATGGAAACAACATTAAAGAATTAGCATCAAGAATTAGCATCAAGAATTTGGCGGTAGGAGTGACGATCTATCCTATTCCAACCTGCGGCCCTATGCCTTGTGTCATCCCCCCTTTCTTTCCCATAATTCCTGTCTGTCTTCAGCTGTACTGAGGAAAAAATCTGACAAAAAACAAAATAAACAAAAGAATTTGTTAATTTATCTTTGTGCAACCAGCGCGACACCCTTCAGCCTCTAAAACACCTTTAGCAGCGCAGCAGTTTCAATGCAACCAGCTGTGTTTTGGATTATGCACTTATACTCGCCAGCATCACTCTGGGTCACGTTAGTTATAAGCAGATTGAAATGTCCTGCAGTTTTCTCCTGGATTATACACCTGCTGTCTGTAACACAGTCTCCATCTTTGTACCACTCGGCAGTTGGGTTTGGCTTGCCGCTAACCAGACACTGGAGGATAACTGGTGTCCCTACCGCCGCTGTAACATTGGTCAATGGGATGACACATTTAGGGGGCGTCTCAGTCACCTGGAACTGGAAGCTGCACATGTCAGAGGACTTCCCTTTGAACTCTATCTTGTCATCTTTTGCTGGTTCGGCAAAAACGTCAAAGTTAACGCTGACGTATTTCTCTCCTTGTTCACTCATTTCGTTGTCAGTCTTGGCCACCAGCCTGACCGCCCGCTGAGATTCATCTGCCTCCTGTTCAAACTCAAACTCAAGCTCAATTTCTGACACATGCTCGCTGTCAAACGACGTGTTGCCAACCATCATATCAAACTTCTGTGGCTGGACTTTGGCACTTCCCAGAGACACAGCGGTCAACTCCCTGCCTCTGGTCTTTCCTGAGAAAGCTTTGGCATTTAACACCACCAGAGAGGCCCTGCACAGAGTCTCCCCGACAACGTTAATAGCCCTGCAGGTATATATTCCTGTATCCTGTGTTGTGACCTTACAGATCTTCAGGAAGTGGTTGTCTCCATCAGATGAGTGCAAAAATTTTTTGTTATTGTGAGGAATTTTTTTGTCACCTTTGAACCAAGAAATGATGGGAGATGGAATTCCCATCAGTGAGCACTCAAACATGACAGTGGTACCCTCTGGGGTTTCCATGTCACAGATGGGGTTGATAAATCTTGGAGGCATCTCGGTGACCTCAAAAGCAATTTTCAAATCATCATGCTCCTGGGCGACAAAGTCCACAGCGCCCTCCTCATAAATACTCGGTAACACATCCAAAGATATGATCATGCTCTTGTTGTCGGCTGTGTACTCAGGAATGGTGATGATCTTAACCTGTTTCTCAAATTCTTTTACCTCATTTTCATCCAATTCTACTTCAAGCAATATCTCTTGAGGGGAAGGAGAACGAGATGAGTCGTCTTCCTCCACATCAAACTCCATCACATGCTGATGGGTGACAGCAGGTGGAGGGGGCATGAACTTTACTTCCTGCGATACAACTACCACTAAAGCAACACTTCTCGCCTCCCCGACATAGTTCACAGCCTCGCAGATATACTCCCCCTGGTCAGCTTTTGTGACATTGTGAATTGTTAGTGAGATGCTGTCGCCATCTCTTTCCATTTTTACTCTGTCATCTGCTACCAATTGGGTTTTGTTGCAGAACCACTTCACCTCAGGGGAAGGTAGGCCAAACACCTCAGCGTAAAATGTTAGCGAGTCATTTTCAAACACTCTTTTCTTAATGAGAGGTTTGAGGAAGGCAGGAGGGATTCCCTGCACTTTTTCCTGAAGGGTTGATAGGCCTAAAGACCCCATTCCCTTGGTGAGGTATCGACTCTCGTCAAGGCTTATTGCAGGCGGCGTTGTTTCAATTCCCTCATCAGCAGGAGATGTCAGGAATTGAACTGGTGAAAAAAACCTCTCGCTTGAGTCTCCTGTTGAGGGTCGCTTATGTTCTAGAGAAGAGAAGGGAAATTCCTGAGGCGTCATAAATCCTCCAGGTGTATCAGAACTTGGCGTTTGGAAGGTCGTGTGAGACTTGGGAGTGTGGAAGGACTCTGCAATTGGCTGAGAGACCTCAGTGGATGAGCCTGGGGTGTAGAACCTCTCGGCTACCTCGGCTATCTCTTCACTAACAGTGCTACCAATCTCTATGGACATCTCAGACTCAGGGGACAGTGGTCTTCCCCAGTCTGTTGGAGGGTTGTAGTAGTCATACACAGCACCAAAAGTGACCTCCTCTTCCTCCATGGAACCAGCTGCTGCCGCTGCTGCTCCCCCAGCTTCAGCTGCTGAAGCCTTGTCAAAACTATCTCTTTCGTGTAAAGATGCAATCCGGCTTCGAGGTTCCTCAGCAGCAGCAGCAGCAGCAGCAGCAGCAGTAGCAGCATCCTCAGGAAGACCAAGTGGTTCAACTCTGCTGTCTACTTTAGTCTTGACAATAAGTGGTTCAGGTTCTGGCTCCATGTGGACATCAATCGTCTCATCTTCACCTTTGATATGTGTATGAGGTTCAACTACATCACCAGCCATTTCCTCAGCTACCTCTGTCACATCGGCCTGGGACTCTGGCATACTAAGGAAGACACCACTGTCCATAGACAGCTCTGGAATTGAAATCAGCTCCCCACCTTCAAGCACCATACTGACACCTTCAGCCTCACTGGGAATACAGGAAGACCCTGCAGCTGGACTTGGCCTTTCAGGTTTGAGAGATTCAGAAATTCTTTTAGGTTTAACGACTTCTTCGGCTGGAGATGAGGTTCTGACAGTGCGTTTTACTGTAGGGACTCTTTCCGACTGGAAAGGAATAAAGCTGCTAGTTCTGTCAAAAGTACACAAAGTGTCTTCCTTTACCAACCCCACTTCACATGTCTCCATTGGTTCAGGAGCTTGAGCAAGTTTCTGTGCCTTAGGCCTGACGAGGTCTGGAGACTCCTGTACTTCCTCTACAAACTGCCTAACTACACCATGACTTTCTGCTAAAACTGCTCCCTCTTCAACATCACCAGATATCACTGGGATCTCACGGTCTTCCTCCAGAGAGGAGGTGGGCTGGGAAGCCTTGGAAGGGACAGGTTTGGGTGCTACAGGAGTTTCAGGGGAAAGTGGCTTTCCTGAAACAGGAATAGTTTCAGTCAAACCTGGTTCTGCTCCAGCTGAAACAGCTTTGGGAGAACCTGGATTTCCTGTCATAGCAGGAACAAGTCTATCACCACCTTCTGCATACAGGATTTCAGGTTTGATTCCTTGTTCCTGCTGATCAAAGGAAATAGCCACCGCAGGTATGAACTCCTTAGGAAAAAGTGTTTCTTTGCTCTGCTCCTCAGGAGAAGGGGGCGTCCGTAATGCAACTGGTGAGTCTGACTCAAAAGCTTGTTTAATCTGAGAAACTTTAATCACGGCAGCAGAACCAGTAAGACCACAGCCAGATACAGTCGGAGGCTCTCTCGAGACACCAGGTCTGGATTTTGGGGCTTTGGTCAGCTCTGACGGAGCTTTTGAACTTACAAAAGCACTGTCCTCAGTGTGAGAGATGGTAGCTTTGTGGGTTGCCGTAGGTTTCTTGACATCCTCAGTAAAGCCAACAACAGACTTCCTCACTATCTCAGACGGAGTAAAACCGCCACCCTCTGAAAACTGCACAGGCTCTGCAACTTGAAGCGATACATCGGAGATGCTTGTAACCTCTCCCATCTTATTTCTAGCAACACATTTGTACACTCCAGCATCAGTGTATGTGAAACTGTTGATATACAGCCTGTACACTTTATCATCTACCTCAGCTCTGTACTTTCCTGCCTTGATTTTGAGGCAAACATCATCACAATACCATGAGACCTCTGGGGTGGGTTCACCTGTGATTACACACTCTAACACAGCAGTGCTGCCCTCGGAACAGGCGATATTCTCTAATTCACTGATCACGTGGGGAGCTTCACCAGCCACATCAAAGGAGAAAGTAAATTTGTGTTTGACGGTCTGAGAGGCTCCCTCATCGCTTGGCACTTCTGAAGTTTCCTCCATAAAAGTCTGAGGTTTGTCCTCACTGATTTCCTCTCTCATCTCAGGGAGAGGAGTAGCAGCTGTAATTCTGATTTCTACTGGTGAGGAGTTTAACGATTCATCTGAGCAGCCGCGTCTGTGGATCACCGCCTGAGGCACCTGTAACGTTGCCTTTCCTGCATCCATGTAGGTCTTAAGTTCCTCTTCTATGGCGCTGTCCTGGGTTTCTTCACCCTTTTCTCGCTCCTCTGAAACTACCATCTTCTGTGCAGCCCCTGACTTTCTCACCACCTTTTTGTCAGAGATCTCGAGAGTGCCACTGCAGATGGATTTGCCACGTTTATTGGTTATGACACAGTCATATGTCCCCTCATGGTCTGTTGTTGGGTAGAAGACAGTGAGCTTTGATTTGTTAGATTTGATCATGATATTGTAGTCAGGGTTGTGGTCTAACGGGTGGCCATCTTTGAGCCAGGTGACCGCAGGCAGAGGGTCACCCTGGAATTGGCAAGTAAACTCTGACATCTCACCAACTTTTACTTTGAGTGAAGATATTTCTTTCACAAATACTGGACGGGACCCTTCGGCACTTGTATCCCCTTCTTTCATCCTCTTTGACTCTGGAGTTTGGTACACTCCCTCCAAAGTGGATTTCTCTTGGACTCTTCTCTCCTCCTTCTTTATAGCTCCTAGTTCAAGGCTTTCTGCACTCACTTCACCACTCTTTTTTGACCTTACTGACTCTCTGTTTCTTTCTTCTCTCCTGACACCTGCAAAATCCTTTTGTTGTCTCCATTCACTGCTTTCTCTGGTAGTTCCCATCTCCTCCCTCATTCCTCTCTCCTCTCTTACCTCCGATTGGAAGAGTTGGTTGCTGGATTTATCTACAGTCACTGAGTATTCCTCACTGCTCTGTTTTCTCTCTGCCTCCCTTCCCACATCCTCCTGTGGACCACGTAATGGGGAGCGTCTTCTGACTGAGGGAAACACTCCAGAAGGCTTAAGAGGGCTCTCATCCCGCCCAGAAGCAAGTCCATACCCTTCAAAAGGTACATTACTAAGTTGGGTGGGAGAGTATCTCCGAACTGGTGAGACTTCTGGACCCGTTCTGTCCTTTACAGGAATAGGTTTAAAATCGAAAGAGCTATCAGTAGGTACACCAACATGGTGTGGTAGACCATCATGTGTTGGAGAATGCCTTGTTACAGAAGAAGACTCACTATGTGGAGGTGGCTCGTACCTAGCTGCATGTGGAAGAGGTGAGGGTTTTTTTGTTGGTAAGCCTCCACCAACAAGAGATTTTTGTTGAGGTGGAACGTCACTCGGGTGGGTGTCGTGAGAAATGCCTCCATGGTGGGGTCCGCTGTCAGATGGTAAGACACAAGACTCAAACAGCAACCCAGAGCCAGGTTGTTTGCCTTGGTTGTCCAAAGCCCACTCAGATTCCAGTTCAGCTACTTCCTCTTGTTCAACGACATCTTGTTGCCATTTCAGGATGCGCTGAGCCAGTGCTTCCTCCTCGCTTACGAAGTACTCACTGTCTCTCTGCAACCTGGTCTCACGGCCCTCAGTTTGCAGCTCACCAGCAGGCGGCCACTGCAAGCTATCACCCTGCTGATCTTGGAAACCAGCAGGAACTGACTCACTCAAAAGGAACTTCTCTTTAGCATTTTTTCCCAGGGAAGTCTTCCTGCTGTGGACCACTTCAGGTTGCGATTCTGCAGCAGACACCCCTGCAACATTTCTTCCGACCTCAGAAATTCTCTCTGCCTGGATCTTTGAGTAACCCTCTACCCAATCAGACTCTGGCTTCATAGCCTGGTCTTGTTCCAGCTGAACATTCTGTTGCCATTCCATTATTCGCTGAGTCAAGGCTTCCTCTTCACTGGCAAACTTCTCACTTTCATTCTTAAGCTCAGAGATATTCTCCCTTGACAGCTGGAGCTGACGCTCCTCTTTTGTCTTCTCAAACAACATCTTCTCTCCTCTGGCTTTTGTTCTAGGCGATGACTCAGCCTCCACATCTGCTGCTCTACTTTGTAGTCTGGGTGATTTTTGTGCCAGCATTACTGATGCATCAGTTTCCAATGCCCTTGGTCTGGTTTTCATTCTGGGTTTAGGCAAGAGGGCAGAGGTTTCGTCCTGTTCTTCTCTACCTTTTACTTTAGGTGACTTTTGCATTGACATGGTAGCATGGTCTACACCTGTACTTTTCTCCACCGCCTTGTGCTGGGTGTAAATGTGCTCCTCAGGCTCTACATACCGGGTTTCTGTCGGCATTGGCAAATCAGTTTCAGGGTGGGATTCTTCCTCTTCTGACATTCGCATACCTTGCTGCCATTTCCTGATCCGCAGGGCCAGGAGTTTTTCCTCACACTGCATCCGTTCTTCTTCTAGGCTCTTCTCATACTGAGCCCTCAAGGACTCCCCTTCATGCTCCTCTCCATATTGCTCAACTCTTTCTGGTGTTACAGCTTCACTAAGGAACCTCTCTTTGGTAGATGTGTCTTGTCTTAACCTGGGTGACTCTCTGAGTCTGTCCTCTGCCCTGGCTTTTGCTCTTGGCAAAAACTCCACCTCCACCTCAGCAGCTCTGGCTTTTACTCTTTGTGTCGGCATGGGTGGTACCCCTACTTCCATTTCTTCTGATCTGGCGTCTATTGTAGCTGATTGTGTGTGCAAGGAGGCAGATGTTTCTACTTCTCCTCCAGCTTTAATTTTAGTCAACCTGGGTGCTGATACAGTTGCAGCTTCAGGATCTACCAAACTTGCCGTCATGCTGGGTGATTTATGAAAATCAGAGGGCATGGCCTCAGTTTCTACAGCTGCTCTTTTCTCCATCACCTGCTGCTGAGGGTAAATGTGCTCTGCAGGCTCCATGTACCGCATCTCTGCAGGCATGGGCAGATCAGTTTCAGGGTGAAATGTCTCCTCCTCTGACATCCTACTCCCTTGCTGACATTTCCTGGTCCGCAGGGCCAGGAGTTTTTCCTCACACTGCATCCGTTCTTGTTCAAGGCTCTTCTCATACTGAGCCCTCAAAGATTCCCCTCCCCGCTCCTCTCCATATTGCTCAACTCTTTCTGGTGTTACAGCTTCACTGATGAACCTCTCTTTGGTAGATATGGGTTGCCTAAACCTGGGTGACTCTCTTAGTCTGTCCTCTGCCATGGTTTTTGTTCTTGGCATCAATTCTGCCTCCACTTGTGCAGTTCTGGATTTTATTCTGGGGGATTTTTGTATGGACATGAGTGGTGCCCCAACTTGCATTTCTTCTGATTTGGCCTCCACTGTGGCTGACTTTGTGAGCACAGAGATGGATGTGTCCAATTCTTCTTCTCTGGCTTTTACTTTAGCTGGTCTGGGTGCTGACACAGTTGCAGCTTCAGGATCTACCAAACTTGCCGTCATCCTGAGTGATTTATTGAAAGAGGAGGGCATGGCCTCAGTTTCTACAGCTGCTCTTTTCTCCATCACCTCCTGCTGAGGGTAAATGTGCCCTGCGGGCTCCATGTACTGCATCTCCGCTGGCATGGGCAGATCAGTTTCAGAGTGAAATGTCTCCTCTTCTGACATCCTACTACCTTGTTGCCATTTCCTGATCCGCAAGGCCAGCAGTTTTTCTTCACACTGCATCCGTTCTTCTTCGAGGCTCTTCTCATACTGAGCCCTCAAACACTCCCCTGCACGCTCCTCTCCATATGGATCAACAGTTTCTGTTGTTGCTATGTCATCTGGTCTTACTGCATCGCTCAGGAACTTCTCCCTGATAGATGCGACTGGCTTAGCCCTGGGTGACGCCAGAAGTGATTTCTTCTCTTGAGCAGGCGAAGTTCTGACAGATTCCCTGCTTTCAGTGTAAGTTGTAGTTTCAGGGTATGCTAATGATTTAGAGTATGGGACTTCAGGGTGACGTAGCTCAACCTCAACCTTTGTAGCCTCCACCTTTTGACCAGCAACCGCACTGTGACATTCACTTACCATTTGCTTGAATCTACCATCTGCCTGAGATTCAACATAGCTCTCAACTTTTTTATCCTCAACTGTCTCTGAATATGTTTGACTTGGTTTCCTTTCTGTGTCTGGCACCAGTGTATCAACCAACTCACCTCTCATGATCTGAATGGCCCTGGTTCTGGACTGAGGCTCAAACGAATGCCTCATATGAGGCTGAGAGGGCTCCCTGTGCTGTGAGCTTTTACCTTGAGACTCCCTGTGACTCTCCCCCAAATCGAAGGGTCGATTGAAATGCTGAACATCAGGCAGTGAGGCAGGCTTGACCCTGAGCCTCTCTACATAATCTGCATAGCTCGACTCGCTGGCAACTGACTCTGACTCAAACTCAGAGGAGGACATGGTCGAGATAGAAAACCTCTTCCTCTGTTTGACAGCTTTTTGGAGTGTGGTAAGTTTTGTTCTTACCTCGTTGTGAAGGCTCTCAGTGTCACTGAACCTCTCGCTGTATCTGTCACTGCACCTGTCGCTAAACTTGTCACTGAACCTGCCTCCGGTGCGCCGGTCACAGTAGATATCACTGTATCTGTCGTTAAAGCGCTCAGACCTGTCAAACATGGGAGGTGGAGATGGGGCACGCTCAGAGGCAGTCTCCAAACGTTTGGACTCTTTCTCTGTCTCTTTCTCTTTTGCACGGGAACCAGACCTGAAGTACACGGTACGCACCAGAGAGGTCTTTGATCGAGATCTTCCCTGATGGACTTTGGACATCTTGTCGAACGGAGAACCTACGCACCTGAGCTCGACCCTAATCTTCCTTTCTCTCCTCTGCTCTGCCATGGTGTCTACGCTTTCATGGGCTTTGGCAGAGCGTCTAACAAAGCCCAGGTAGTTAGCAGACTGCTCTTCCCCCAGTGACACCAAAAGTGATGCTGTGGACTCAGCAGAACCCTCCGTGTTTATCGCCATTACCTTATAACTGCCCGAGTCCTTCTCTTTGATACTCTCAATAACCAGACTGGTAGTGTGCATGTGCATTCTGCTGTCAGTACAGATCCTTCTTCTACGCTCTTTAGGAATAGATTTATTGTTATGAAACCAAAGGATAGTTGGTGAAGGACATGCAACCAATTTACACTTCAACTCCACAGGCTCTCCTTCCAGGACTGACTGGAACTTGAGCTTCTTGGTGAACGAAGGTTTGATGTTCTCTGTCCACGAGCTGATGGAAGAAGTCCTGCTGGAGCACCGATTGGCCGACACCAGGCCGTGATCTGGGAAGTCCTCAGTGTCAGAGAAGGCTCCTCTGAGCTGTCGAGTGGCGGTGAGTTCGGTGCTGATGTGCGGCGTTCCTTCTTTGCTTTCGTGATAAAACAGCTCTGCAAACAGAAGCAGACAACTGTCAGAACAACACAGCCTCCAGGGATAAATAGAGAGAAAAGGATTTGAATGAATAATTAATGGAAATATTAAATGCATGCAGGGAGTCACAATGCCATAAGAAATAATTTCACTCACCATATTTGTTCGAATAAACGCAAGACTTGATTCTTTTTATTAGAAACCTGCAGGAAGTTTTGATCCTTCGTCTGTGGAAATTTCTTCAAAACATAAATTATTTTATTATCATTAAAAATGCATAATGTTTCCAAGATGGGCTGCTAACATTCACTTGTTTTATTTTTTTATAATTGCTTTGGGTTTATACTAGAATATTCCTTACCTGACTTGCAGACAGGAGAATAAACGCCCTTTCTAATCCTTAAACTTAAGAGGAAATAAATGATGCACAAGTATCAATGAGAGGCAAAGCTCTCAAAAACATATCTTATATTCCAAAGCTTAAGCAAATGAAGCTGTAAAATTGGGTGAGAAGGCGTTTATTCGAACTAATATAGTTTACTGGTGTTATTTAGTGCAAACCACAGGAGTCACATCCCACTATCTGCAAGCCAGGCTAAGAAATATTTTGCAGGAGGAAGGTGTCAGTTCCGGATGCAGTGAACTTCCATATCTTTTAAAGGGCATTTCAAATCTGGAAGCTTTAAAAGATACGAATCCTGCGCCTTTTCTGGGAAAAGATCAGAAGAACCTTCATGCCAAAACATAAATGAACTTTTGGATGCAAACCGCAAGTGTCAAAAACTGGTACAAGCAAGTTCTATCAGTGCTCGCCTGGGGGGAACCATGGAATATTATCAGAGGAAGAGCAGGTAGAATAATAGGACCACAGGAATTTTATATCAAGACAGATAAAGATGAACATGCTGCTGTGGAAATTCAAACATCACTGAAAGGGACAGTTCACCATGATGACATATTTACATATTTTTAAACTCTAAAAGCAGTCTGTGGACACAGGTCAACTATAATCCAAATAATCCATAAATCATGCACCCACACGTCTGTTTTTATTCTTCACTTTCTCAACAGCTTCTGCACTTAAAATCCGCCTTCAGTGAGTCAAAGCTTGGATCAGAGTTTCCTGCTGACAGACTACTTACAAAGTCAAACATGTAAGAGTAAAATCAAGTAAAACAGATGGCTGGTGAAACTGTCCCTTTTCCACTTTGCAAATTTCTCATGTGTGACAATAATCTGGTGTGTTTGATGGGTGATGGTCGGAAATCTGACGTGATTTTACCTTTGACTTCTTCCTCAATCTTGGCTTCGATATGCTCTCTCACGTGAGTCACAGGTACTGTGAAGGAAAGAGATGACATTAATTCACTGAGTGCACAGTTTGCGTACAGGATTGATCCAGTGAGGGTCTTCAACTCCTTTCCAATTAACACAGTCATTCCCATGAACAGGAACGGATTAACACCTCAGTGTTTCTGGACACAAATCTATTCACCTTTTGTGTTTGGGCCCCTTCTAGTGTTGGGCTTGTCACTCTAAAATGTAATACATTACTTGTTACTCATTTCAAAAGTAATAAAATTACTTTACTTATTATCCCCTGCCAACAGTAAGTTGTTACACTACTCATTATATTATTTTCCATTACACCCCATTAAATTGGCAGCTGCGTATCTCCCCAAAATTCAGATGTGTGTAATCACCAGTAAGTGTAGCTAAGGCTAGATAGCTGGTTTGTACTACAGGTTTTTAGTCCTTTAGTGCAACGAGTTGATGTACCAAAATGGCTGAAGCCAAATGCACAAAGCAAATAGATTTAAGTCCCAGAGATCTGTGGCTCATACTGCGCTTTAATCAGCATTTTTTGAGAAAATAGATTTTGAAGTGAGAAATCAAACAACACAAACATAAGAAACAAGGTGAAACACGGCGACAAAAGAAGAAACAGACATTAACATAGGAATCAGACAAATAAGGAGTTTCCTGGAGGACGGAGGTTACACAAGTGAGTTTCATGCATGTTCCACAGTTTTCCTGTGTGGGAGAGGAGAGGAGGGTGAAGGAGGGTGGAGAGGTGAGTTTGATCCTGTGGGGAGTGGTAACAAAGGCGGAGCAGAGACAAGAGGTGATAATCCAAGGCTTTCAAGCAAATGGGTGCATCTTTCTGGAACTGTGAGGTTAGTCAAGTCTGAAGGAGGGATGTCCCGAAATATACGGACGCAATGTTGCAATTCTTTTTTTTTTTTTTTTTTTACAATTTATCCACCAGAGCAACTGCAATTTACACAAGATACCGAGGAGCTACGAAGGACATTCTGTTATAGTCTGTGTATGAATTCTTGAATCATGGCCAAAAATATGCTTTACGAGGTCACAGTGACCTTGACCTTTGACTTTCTATCACTAAATGAATTCATCTTTGGGTCCAAGTAGACATTTGTGCCAAATTTGAAGAGATTCCCTCAAGGTATTCATGGTGTCACTAAAGGTCATCAAAGTCTAGTCAGTTCATCCTTGACTTAAAGTGGACATTTGTGCCTCAAGGTGATCTTGAGATAGGGCGTTCACAAGAATAAGAGAGAAGAGATCACTGTGACCTTGACCTTTGACCCCAATCAGTTCATTGTTGAGTCCAAATGGACACTTCTGCCAAATTTAAATAAAAAATAAAAAATCCCTCAAGGTGTTTTTGAGATATCATGTTTATGAGAATGAGACAAGAGAAGTGACCTTGACGTTTGACCACCAAAATCAAATCAGTTCATGCTAGACTTAAAGGGGATATTTCTGCCAAATTAAGAAAAAATCCCTCAAGGTGTTCTCGAGATATGCGTTACAAGAATGAGAAAGAAGAGGTCACAGTGACCTTTGACCACCAAAATTGAATCAGTTAATTGTTGAGTCCAAGTGGAATGTTTGTGCCAAATTTGAAGAAATTCCCTCAAGATGTTCTTGATATAGTGTGTTCACGTGAATGGGACGGACGGACGGACAACCCGAAATCATGATGCCTATGGCCACAGCAATCACCAGTGCGGAGGCTAATTGTGCAGCGTGGTTCGGGACATCCCTGAAGTGATTTGTGTGGAAACAATAAGAAGGAATTCAAAGAGGGTGAATTAATCTTGCAGAAAGAAAAACAGGTTTATTTCAGAATCTGGCTGCAGCCAATGGATCCAGGGGTTACCTTCTTCTTCTCTGGTTATGGTGAGGGTGGCCGAGCATGCGGCCTCTCCAGCGTTATTGGCAGCCCTGCAGGTGTACTGCCCTGCGTGCTCAGAGAAAGCATCGACTATGATGAGCATGGCGGTGCTGGTCACCTCATCGAAGTGAAACACCACGTTCTTGGTAGGCTGAACCGGTTGCCGGTTGTGGAACCAGCTTATCTCCGGCTTTGGTATGCCGGACACACATGCATGAAAGCGTGCCACCTCGCCGTGTGGCACCGTGCAGCTTGTGATTGGCTGGATGAAAACTGGCTTTTGGCCAATGGAAGGTTTCTTTATACTGGTGAGGCTGGTGGAGACATGCCACTGAGACTCAGCACGACTGTCCACGGTTTGTATTTCCCCTGAAAGGAAGCATGGTCAGTGATATCATGAGCTTTGCTTTAAATCTAAATCCATCCCAGTCAGCACAGTTTGGGTGGTCTGAAACTGTCCTCATGAGAAACATCTCACCATCAGTTGTTTATTCGATTGTGGTTTGTTTATTTTTTTACTTTTTCTGCCTCTTTGGTCGTGTGGATAATGGCAAAGGAGGAAGTAGAGTGACTTTAACCCCATTTCCACCAAGCAGTACAATATGTTTCAGTTCAGTTAAGCTTTTTTTTCTGTTTCCACTGTGGAAAGTTGTGGATGGTACCAATAGAACCGTTCTGTACCATCCCCATGTTTGGTCCCCCTTCTGTTGGGGTACCTAGCACACAGATCTGGTACTAAAAGGTGGAGCTGTGAACTTAAATATCCCATATCCCATGGAGAGAGACTCTCACTGCAGCCTGTTCTATTTTGTTTTGAAAATGTCAGCGTGCAGCCTCGTTCTGTGGACGATAAATGAGGTGCAGACTGATAAAGGAGGAAATACAGTGAGTGCTGGACGGAGCAGTGAGTGACAACAACCCCGCCCACATTTAAGAGGACTGTTTGCGGTGGAAACACTAGGGTCTAGGTACCATGTCTGAAGGGTTACTTTTGGTTCCAAAGGTACCATACCAAAAGCGTGTTGTGGAAAGGGGGCTTCAGTTTCTAAACCTACTCCTGATTTTGTCGTTTAGTTGTGAGAACTTTTCATCAAAACCAAGTTCAGCTTCTTTGCATCTTTTCACCTTCAAACCACTGAACCAGTGCTCACTGGGACGTGTTTATACGTTTCAGTGAAGAAAAGAAGAACAGCGCCGTGATATGGCGTCATACTGCACTGAAACAAAACATCTTATCAAGGGAAAAACCACAGTCAGGATATTTAATCAGTTTGTGTTTCACTGACAGTCTCATATTAACATCGTACAGCTGAGCGTGGACAGAAACATCTGTGTCACCCGTCTGTATTTAACATTATGACAGGCATCAGCGTGGAGCTCACAGCAGTCAGGGACGCTGCTCATATGTACGTTTAACAAGACCGTTACTGGATTTCTGAATGATTTTTGCATCAGTGTGATAAGGTTATTCAATATGTCGGGTCATATTAAGTATATACAGCTTCCAAATCTCTGAGGAAATGTTACGATATACTGAAATATGAAATGAAAAATAAAGACACAACAAATTTCTGTTGAGATAATCTGTTTGTTGAATCCTAATTTCAGAGTAACAGTCTTAAAAAACAAGATATGAGCACTGTCTTTTATCTCCAGATAACAACAGTTTAGTCCTCTGGAGATAAAAATGTTTGGTACCATGGCTGCTGCTCGTTCCTGTTATTTACCTTTACAGTGTCTCTTTTTAAGGGTTTGCTGGTGACAAACTTACCGTCAATTGAGAGAGTGGCAGAGCAGGACACCTGTCCAGCGTTGTTCGTGGCCACGCAGGTGTACTCGCCCTCGTCCTCGGGGTAAACCCTGGAGATCTCCAGCTGACAGCTGTCGTCAAACTGAGACATCCTGAAGAAGACGGACTGCTTGATCTCCTTCTCTCCGTGGTACCACCTGATCTTCACATCTGGACAGACGATAGGGGACAAAAGTGTTTGTGTGGTGGCAGGCTGAGCTTCATGATGAACGCTGTGATGGCATCCAATATTCAATATAGTCCAGTATTCTCTCTGTTTATCGGACACAGAAACTCTGAGCTGAAACTCAGTGTGATGCTCAGTAAAGACGAGGATCGGATGGTTGATGGTTGTAACAGAGACACCAAACACACACTGCTGTTTGAAACTACAGAAATACTGACTTTACCTGCATGAAGTAAGAGTTTAGTTTCCTTACCGTCTCCGCGGACTCTGCACTGAAAGCGAGCTGGTTGTCCCTCACGGGTGGAGGTGCTGGTGATGGGTGAGATGACGACAGGAGGTGCGACAGGTGCAGCTGAGTCTGGAGACACCACCTCAGACACTGCAACACACACACACACACACACACACACAGCTGTATTTACACATGTCCTGGTGCTCATGTTGGTCTTTGTTCAACTAATGTCTCGTCTTACCTTCCACGTTGAGCGATGCGGTACTTGTGGCGGTGCCGTAGTCGTTCTTGGCTTCGCAGTTGTAGACGGCGGCATCCTCGGGGAACACTTCGATCAGCAGCAGTGAGTGCTCGTTGCCGTCGTGGAGGAACTTACACTTGAAGCCAGGGGACAGAGCCTGGGAGTTTTTGTACCAGAAGACCTGAGGCTGGGGAACGCCGCTCACCTCCACAGAGAAGCGAGCAGGTTTACCGGCCTCCACCGACTGGGGCTCCATGTGGCGGAGGATCTGAGGAGGCTCCGGGACTGAAGCGGAAGTAAAAATTTTCGTGAGCAAAGACACAAGAGAACATTTATCACATGTTTCAAGGTTGTTGATTTTAATATTAAAGTCGAGGTTTGTAAGTGGACGTTTGTGCCAAATTTAAACAAAAAACATTCCCTTACAGTGTTCTTGAGATTCTGCCTCCTTCTACGAGAATGAGACAGAAGAGGTCACAGTGACCTTGACCTTTGACGTTCTACTACCAAATTCTACTCTACTTCCTCAAGTCCAGTAAACGTTTGATCAATTTGAAGAAATTCCCTCAAGGTGTTCTTGTGATATCACGTTCAAAGAATGAGACAGATGCAAGGTCCCTGCAACTTTGACCTTTGACAATCAAAATGTAATCAGCTCAACCTTGACTTAATGTGGACTTCTGTGACAACTTTAAAAAATACCATTCCCTCAATGTGTTTATGAGAATGAGACAGAAGAGGTCACAGTGACCTTGACTTTGACCCTTGACCACCAAAATCTAATCAGTTTATCCTCAAGTCCAAGTGGAAATTTGTGCCAAATTTGAAGAAATTCCAAACGTACAGACAACCCAAAAACATAATGCCTCCGGCCAGGGCTATCTCCAGCGTGGAGGCATAAAAATTGTCAACAGAGAAAATTAGAATCGACACTGACAACTACTTTTGTTGTTTTAAGATGTAAATGTTAAAAATAGGCATCAAAGAAAATGAAAGAGTTGGCGTGACGTGCTGCACTGACTGAAACAGAAGAAACATCAGAATAAACCTTTAATTATTATTATTATGATCGGCGTGTGGAGACAAACTCACGGTTGACTCGGAGGTGCATGGTGCTCCTGTTCTTGCCGGCGATGAAGGTGTACTCGCCGGCGTCGCTCCTGTAGGTCTCAGAGATGGTGAGGCGGTGTATCTTCCTGATGGTCACGTAGTTGAACCTCTCCTCCACAGAGAACTGGATCTCCACCCCGTTCCTCAGCCAGCGACCCTCCACGTCGTCCTCGTTCACCTCGAACTCAAAGGTTGCTCGGTGTCTCTCCAGAACCTGCAAGAGACGAAACGTGTCGTCAGATAAATCAGAAATGAACATATGAAGTTTATTGTTATTTAAAGGAGGAGTTCAACACTTTGAAAACACATCTCTTTTCTTTGTAAACTGAATCTGACAATGATCACATGACAGGAAGTAGCTACTTTCGGTTTGTCATTTTGAAACCTTTCACAGTTTATGAGATCATTTTGGTTTAAATAAGCGTCCACCTCACCGTGATTTCCCGCTCTGCAGGTTCGGAGATGCGAATGTCGCGGCCCTCCACGATCAGCTGAGCCTTGGAGATGCTTGATCCGGCAACCACCGAATACTCTCCGGCATCAGACATACGAACTGTCTGGACCATCAGACGATGAACAAACTTCTCTGCTGTCACAGTGTACCTAAACACAACACAGCGATACCACAACTCTCAGCTCGTATTCGACCTTTAAACATCCTTCTGCTGATCTAACTGTTAAAACAGAATGATTCATGTTTAATAAACTTGGAGTCGTACCTCTCCTCAGACAAGTCCAGCTCCTGACCATTCTTCATCCACATCACCTGAATGTTCGGCTCAGAAACCTCACACTCAAAAATCGCCTTCTTCTTCTCTGTGATCTTAATGTCCTTGATTTTCTTGGTGAATTCAATCACACGGGCTGATTCGACAAAATAAACAGGTATATGAATCTGCAGTTTGAAGATTTTTCCTACAAACTATGTTGAATCAACTAAATATCTTTGGTTCAACAAACTCTAACTAACACAAAAACCATCCCATTACCTTCAACGAACAGGTTGGCGGCGGTGGCAGCAGACCCTGCCACGAACTGGTACTCTCCTCCATCCCCGAAGTGAACATTCCGAATGGAAAGGGAGTGCGTGAGCTGCCGGCTGCGGACCTGACATCTGTCCGACGACTTCACCTCCACACCGTTCTTCAGCCACTTGTAGGTGATGCCCTCGTAGTTGACGGTGACCTCGAAGGTGATGGTGTCTCGCTCCTGAGCGTTCAGGTCCTTCAGCATGGACGTGATCAGCACGGCTACAGAGGAGACGACAGTATGGGTTAAAATATACATAACATTTAGTCAACGGCTTTTAGAGACACAAAGACAGACGACAACTGAAAACTAAGATTTAAAATACTTTTGTTAGTAACTCTTCAATTTAGATTAATAAAGTTTTAGAGGATTCTGGTTTTACTCTTTGTATTTTATTAAAAAAAAATCTAGTTTAAGGTCGAAGAGGTCTAATCCAACAATCCACTCTATCTCAGTTACATTATACTCTTAGTTAACTATGTTTTTTAACTTAATTGTTACTGACACACCTTAACAGGCAATTAACATTACAAAATAAAATCATCTTGAGTTCGGGCTTCACTAGACACATGCACATACAGATGAAATACAACCCAGGCATCAGACAAAACTGCTGGCATTGTACGTTTCTACAAACCATCACATTACATTTGTTTCATATGCATCATATCAACGTTTCTAAAGTGACCTAGTAAATGAGCTGACTTTGTCACCAGGAGGTGGAGGGGATGGTAATGGTGTGTCACCTCGAAGAGACGCCTACCGAGCTACAGACCATTGTTCAACACCAACACACAAAACCAGTCATTCTGGGAGTCGTGGCTTTGACTCAAGCAGCTGTTTAGGTACCAAACGAGGTGTTTTCACCAAGGATAACGTTACGAGAAGTGATAATTTTCTGTCGACATGTCGCTGCCCTTCTTTTCAGTATAGTGCCACAAAAAGCAGTTGGTTTTTACAAAGATGTTGCTGCGTTTCCTGCCAGGAGGAGCCATGAAAAGAAGTTCTTTTTAGCGAGGCGCTGCTGCACTTCCTGCCGAAATAGTGCCACAAAACGCGGTTGTTTTGTTGCGAGACATTTCTGCATTTCCTGCCAGGATGTGCCACGTTTGCTTTGTTTTTTACAGAGACATCACTGCATTTCCTGCCGGTATAGTGCCACAAGAAGAGGTTGTGTTTTTACAGAAATGTAGCTGCGCTTCATACCAGCATACTGCCACAAAAGTAGCTGTTTAATACAGAGACATCTCTGTACTGTATAGTGCCACAAAAAGCAGTTGTTTTTTTACAGAGATGTCGCTACACTTCCTTCCGGGACAGTGCCGCAAAAAGTGGTTCTTTACAAGCGAGGCATTGCTATGTTTCCTGCCAGTATAGTGCCATGGAAAGTGGTTGTTGTTTACATAAATGTAGCCGCATTTCCTGCCAGTATAGTGCCACACAAACACAAAGACATTCCTGTGTTTCCTGCCGGAATAGTGCCAAGAAAAGAGGTTATTTTTACAGGGACATCACTGTGCTTCCTGCTGGGATAGTGCCACAAAAAGTGCTTGTTTTATACGGAGATGTTACTGTGCTTCCTGCCAATATTGTGCCTCCAAAACTGGGTATTTTAAGCTGAACATGATCTTTTTCTAACCATAACCAAGAGGTTTTTGTGCCCAATCCAAACCATCTTAATCACATTGTTGTTTAAACTTAAAGTTTCAACATATCTGCTGTATTATAATGTACAAATGTATCATCTCTGTTGTTCACAGAAAAGTACAATGCCAACATTTTTCTGACAGCTGGGTTTAAAAAATAAAAGGGACAGAACACACACACAAACATCCATTAATATACAGTACATACCTACAAAAATTACACATCAAAACAAAAAAGTACAAGATTCTCCACTAAAGGTCGTCAATAACTGAAGTCGATCTCCTTGTACAAACACAGGAAGTTATTATGACTTTTTAAAACCACTGAACACTGTGGGAGGACTCGGCTTCATCCAATTAACAGTAATTATTTTGTCTTCCAACCATGAACAGATTGTGCAGTATAGTAACACTGGTCTGTGGTAAACAGGTGCTCAGACAGGTGGCAGGTCCAGGAGGATGTCCCTTTCCTCTTCTGTGAAGTATTTCCAAAGTATTTTTGGGCAGTCCAAAAATAAATGAGTAAAGGTCATCGACCACACCCCAGTGTTGTTGGTAGGACAGTTTTTAAAGACACAGCGGGGTCCTAAAGAACCTCATTTTAAGCTTCAAATCAAATTCTTTAGCTGGCCTCCAACCCCCTGTGACATCTAGAACATTTTCTCAGGCGTCCACTGTTGTTTTCAGACCCAGTTTCTATCATCCTTTAACATTTTAAGTCTAATCGGAAGTATTAGCGTTAGCTTTTTGTACATATGGGTTGTTGTTTTTTTTTGATGCAGCAGGTGTTCAAACAGATGTAGAAAATTAGTTTCTATTACAGACTGTATTAAGAAGTGGACGTAGCCTCTGGGTCTGAAAAGTGGAGCCAGTGGTGAAGTCCCTCTAACCTGCATTCTGTCTAATGTCCAGCAGGTGGCGACTCCAGTCTGACTGCATAGAAGTCAATGAGAAACTGGTCCTACTTCTGGTTTGATTTACGACCTCAGAAATAAATCAAACGAGGAGTAGTTTTCAAGTGATCTTCAATACATCATGATGAACATTTTGTAAATGATGGAGTCAAACACACCATAAAGCAGAGGATGCTTTATCGTGTCACTACCTTGTGATTGACAAGTCGCTACCACGGCGACCTGTCAATCAGGATAGAGGCGTATCCTCCACAGCTCCACCCCCTCGTCCAAACATGGTCACTTCTGGCTCCAAAATGCCAAACTGGAGGTTTCAGAACTGGAGTCCACAAACCAGTGGGTGACGTCACTTCTTTTATACAGTCTGTGGTTTCAGTACTGGTTGGTTCTTTTTTTTTATTCCAGTCTGTATTTTCTTTTTGAGGCACACTTGTCTTGGAGTTGTGAAAAAGATTTAAACATGTTCCCATGGTTGGCTGTATTCAGCCCATATTTTAAAGCATTATGACACACAGAATTTCCCTCTATGGGCATGGCTCCATTCAGATCTTTTGGACTCAAGTTTAGACCTTAGACCATTTTTTCCCATGTATTATTCATTTTTGTTGTTTTCCAACTAAGAATGGAAGGGTAGCTGGTGATGTTTCTAGTGAGGAATTTGTTCAATAGAAACCCGTCTACGCACTATTCACCCCTCTGAGCTGGGCCGCCCACTACTAAAGTTTTAGGTAAACCAGACCTCCCTTATCTTTTGTTGACATCAGTGACTCTGTTTAAACCCTGACAGTTAAAGAATCAGGATAAAAAATTATCTTTAACAATCTGACTTCAGCGTTTTTGTTTTACGCAAGTCTGTGAATTCACATTAACAAGTCCTGTTCAGCATGACCATATGTTCATGAAATGTTCTGTGGTCAGTTTCATGTTTACCACCAGCTGTCACAAACACAACAAAATTTAAACGCTTTTGTTTCTGCACCCATTTTTCACAGGTTGACGTTAAAAATCTGAGACTTGTTTGATGGTCTGTGCTATGTATCTCAAATTTTGGTCGCAAAATCTGTGTTAGTGAGCTCTTCTTTTCCATGATAATCCATCCACCTGACAGGTGTGGCTGATTGAACAGCATCATTACTGCACAGGTGACACAGATGGAGCGTGTTGTTAACATGCTGACTGCAGGAACATCCACCACAGCTGCTGACTATCAACTCAGTGTTCATTTTATTACCATAACACATCTCCAGTGTTGTTTTCCTGAATTTGGTAGTACATCCAACCGATCTCACAACCACAGACCACATGTAACCACCACATCCAGCGTCTTTGCCTGAGAGCAGCCGCCTGAACTGCTGCATGCTCGTTGTCCTCATAAAGGTCTTGACCTGACAGCAATTTGTCATTGTTACCGATTTGTGTGGTTGTGAGGTCGGTTGGATGTACTGCCAAATTCAGGAAAACAACATTGGAGACGTGAAAAGGTAATAAAATGAACACTGAGTTGACAGTCAGCAGCTCTGGTGGAAATCCCTGCAGTTAGCATGTTACAAACACACTCCATCTGTGTCACTGTGTTGTTGTGATCATCCCAAAACACACCTGTGTAGTAATGATGCTGTTCAATCAGCCATACCTGTCAGGTGGATGGATTAGCATGGAAAAGAAGACCTTACTAGCACAGATTTTTACTGACAAAATTTGAGAGACGTACATCAGTTGAGAACATAAAAACAAGTCTCAGATCTTTAACTTCAACCTGTGAAAAATGGGAGCAAAAATAAAAGTGTGGCATTTAAATTTTTGTTCAGTCTTTATGTATATATATAACCACTACTACTACTTCCAACTACATATTAAAAATAATGACAATATTGATAACAATATCATGTAATAATTTGAAATTAATTACATAATAGAAAACAAAAAAATCTAAATGATATAGCAAAGCACAACACATACAAATTAAACTTAATGCATTTTTTGCGAATCCTTTTCCCCCCTGTATTTGTCATGTCTTTAAAAGTAAATTTTGGTTTGTCTCCTGCATTTGTTTTTACATTAGACAAATCTAGGGCTGCCCCCTGAAAGCTGGAGATTTGAATCTTCAGTCTGAGACACCTCTTCGTTTTGTTTTTCACTCAGTGTGTAGTGTCCTTCTGGGGACATTTTGGTACCTAGATTTTGCTGCAACGCGAGCTCTCCTTGTTTCACACTGCTCTCGCAGTACAGACAGCTGCAGACACAGGCAGCTGCAAACACAGAGGCAGCTGCCTAGAAGAAGAGATGCTTTGCCCCGTAAGGCTCCGAAATAATATTATCTTCTCTCCTATGCTTAGAAAAGGTGAATTTACAGCTCACAGCATCTTATACGACCCAGTCTCTCGCTTTTGTTTGATATCTACTGTCGGCAAAAAATGTTATTGCACATTTCTGATCCGTCTTTAGCGCTGTTAGCTTGTTTACTATATTACAAACGTCCCATTGAGTTCTGTTTAAACTTTCAAATTCTAGATGGAATACAGAAAAAAAATTCATATTGAACAGCTGAAACTGATTCGACTGACTGATCATTCTAGGTCGGGTACACCCCTACACACATTTTTACAAATTGTATGTAATTCTTTACTCCACCTCATATATTTTTCTGCTGATCATCTTTATGTCTGATTTGCCATACTTTAAAAGTGTATTGTTAATATTTGTTAAGTCTTTAACCTGAAGGGAGTGACCACATGGGAAACACACAGAAACTCCACGAACAGTTATAACCACAAGATTTCAGGACGTTTGAAACATCGACACTGTTAGACACTTGGGAGTTATCAGTCTCACTCAGAGACATTTTATTTTGTTGTTAATTGACTTCTGGGTTTGACTTTAAACGTGATCTTACGGCTAACGGTGAGCGTTGCAGAGACTCGGTCGTTCCCGCAGACGAAGGTGTACTCTGCCGAGTCGTCCCTGCTGGTGTTCATGATCTTCAGCTGGTGCAGTTTTCCCTGAACCACGATCCTGAACTTCTCGCTCATCTCAATCTCCACGCCGTCTTTCAGCCAGGTGGAAGGCACATTGAAGTGAGAAACCTCACACTCAAACGTGGCCATCTGGGTCTCTGGGACCTCAATGCTCTTCAGCGGTTTGGTGACTCGCAGGGCTGCAGGAGAAAACATAATGAGAGTCAGACAAAATATCAAAATACGTTAAGATCAAAAATCTTAACGTATTATTCTTTACATTCTAAACAACTTATATTCATTTTAATTAAAAAAAGTAGAATTCCTAAAAACATACTAGAAAAAATAACTTTCTAATTTGGAAATTTCAATTTGGAAAACTGTAACACATTTTACTACATAAAATACATACAAATTAAAAATAACTATAATGAACACAGTTTATTTTTCTCCTTTTGACATAATATTTAAAAAAAATTAAACAATAAACATTTTACTATTTTTTTATTTTGAAATTGTATAACTACAAATTGAAAAAAAAACCTATATTTTCATTTAAAATAAAATAATCACAATTTACAAATCAATATAAATTACACAACTTCTAAACTTCATTTTTTTTACAAAAATTTACAAGATAAACCAACTGATGTGTTTTTAGAACGTTTAAAAAACATTAGAGAAAAATGTAAAAACTGGATTTCAGTTTTCATTTGTGCTTTCTTAAAGATTCAGATGTATTTACTTTCCTATCTTCTTTTCATGAGCAGTTTTATTGTTAGAATTATCATTAAAATGTTACATACCCTCCACAGAGAGCGAGGCGCTGCACTGCAGGTGTCCGACCATGGCGGTGTACTCTCCTGCATTGCTGCTGTCAACATGCTGCAGGATCAGTTTGTGAGCTTTCCGCTCAGACAGAATCTTGCACTTGTCGCTCGGCTTCAGCTCTACGCCTTTAAACATCCACCTGACGGGGATATTGTCATGTGACAGGCTCAACTCAAAGGAGGCGGTGCCTTCCAGCAGTGATTTCACGTCCTTTATCTTCTTCACAATTTTGATTGCTGCAGAAACAAACGGCAGGTAAAAAGGATCAAAATTTAAAATACTGAAATGCTAAAAGTTTAGCTCCTAGATGTTTGTATTGGATATTGTTTGATCATTGATTTAAGGCTCATTAATTATGACAAGATTTACAGTAAATCAGTGATACTTACTCTCAACATTGAGTCTGGCGTTGGCAGACAGTTTTCCAAGTTTGAAGGAATAAACAGCCTCGTCCTGTGTGTTGCAGTTCTTGACCCTCAGTGTGTGCACCATGCCGTTGGTGGTGATCTCGTATTTGTCACTGTTCTGCAGCTCCACGCCACTCTTGACCCACTGGGATCCTTTCACATCGGGGTGTGTGAGCTCCAGCGTGAACACCGCCTCCTGGGTCTCTGTCACAGTCTGGTTCTTTAGAGTTTTCTTGATCTTCACCGCTGCAGGGGGAAACAGATGACTCAGTTCTCACACCTAGTCTATAAGAAACAATATAATGATGATTCACAGTAACTGTGTTGAGCGGCCGGTACTTACCCTCCACCCTGAGGTTGGCGGTGGTCTTGGAGTTGGCCACCTGGTAGGTGTACTCCCCGACATCCTGTGGTCTCGTGATGACAATGACGAGGCGTCTGACGGCCCCGTCCATCTCGCTCACCACGTTGTCACTGAAGTTCACATGATGACCATCCTTCATCCATTTGCCCTCAGCTTCGGCATTGGCGACTTCACACTCAAGCACAGCTGTCTGAGACTCCGCCACCGTCAAGTCATGCAGGGGACGTGTGATGGCTCCACCTGGTGGCAACAGAAGGGAACAGTTTGTTTTAAGATTCTGGGGCAACAGAGCACCGTCAGAGTGAGCTATAATTACTGCCTCACGGTTATACACCTCAGCGTACCAGTCACGTTACTGTTACAGTTTACATTCATGTCTGTCCAGACTTATATGAAGCCATGACAGCAGACAGTGCTTCAAATGTGGATGTTGCTACAAAGTCACTACATATTCTAAACCATGGAGGATTCACACAAAGAAGATCTGAACAATCAGCACAGATTCAAGGTGGACACCCAAGATTAGTGTCACCAAAAGAGATACTGGTGAGATACTGCATTCACAAAAGTGAGACACAAAGTCACAGTGACCTTCGACCTTTGGCCAACGAAATCTAATCAGTTTATTGTTGTGTGCACGTGGACGTTTGTACCAAATTGGAGGGAATTCCCTCAAGGCGTTTTTGAGATACCGTGTCCACAAGAATGGGACAGACACAAGGTCACAGTGACATTGACCACCGATATCCGATCAATTCATGGTTTAGTCCAAGTGAACGTTTGTGCCAAATTTGAGGAAATTCCTACAAGGTGTTCTTGAGATATGGCATTCACAAGAAAGGGACAGACACAACGTCCCAGTGACCTTGACCCTCGACCAACAAAATCGAAACACTTTATTGTTGTGTGCACATGGACATTTGTGCTCAACTTTAGGACATTCCCTCAAGGCGTTCTCGAGATACAGCTTTCATGAGAATGAGACAGATGCTAGGTCACAGTGTCCTTTGACCTTTGACCAACAAAACTAGTCAGTTCATCGTTAGGTCCAGTGGACATTTGTGTCAAACTGTGTCATGTTCAAGAGAATGAGACTGAAATACAACCCGAAAACATAATGCGTCCATCCACTGCTGTCACTGCCACAAAGGCATAAAAAGTCTGTAACAGCATCTAAATTGAGGTCAGTAAGAACAGCAAAGTATTTTATATACTTATTCATGACAATAAAGAACCATCACTGCATGTAATTAAAGGTTTATTGTTGGGTGCGTTTGTAGAGGTTCAGCGTCTCGCTCAAAGACAATTTCTTGATTTCCTGACCATGACGAACAAAAAAGCTGCTGTCGAAATCCAACTTAAGGCCTTTTGTTAGGACAGGACAGTATCTGTAAACACTGTGTGGCCCTGCCATAGAATTCTGATGTGAGTGTGAGTTTGTTCACTGGAATGTTACTAAGCCTTACCGGACACAGTGAGCTTGGCGCTGGATGTCTTTTCACCGGCATAAAACATGTACTGGCCCTCCTCATCCTTCATGGTGTCGATGACCGTCAGAGAGTGAGCCTTGCCCTTGGACTCCATCTTGTATTTGGGTCCAGGTTTGAGCTGCTGGTTCTTGAAAGTCCAGGCCGGGTCGATACCCGAGTGAGAAACCTCGACATTAAAGGTTACATTCTGGGACTCTGAGCACACTTTGTCTTCCATGTGCTTCACAATGTGTACCTCTGTAAAAACAACAACATGGTTAGAACACTGAACTGGAATTGGGGCCTAAAAACAGGATCATGAGAAAATGAATCTTACTTTCAACAGACAGGCTGCAGCTAGTGTCAACCTTGCCAACCACTAGTTTGTAACGTCCTTCATCAGAGGCGTAAGTCCTGGTGAAGACCATACGCTGCTTGGCTCCCTTCGCCAAAATCTGGACTCGGTCACTGGGCATCACCAGTTTGTCGTTGTGATACCATTTGACTGAACTGACATCCTGAGCGGAGATCTTGGCCTCCAGAACAGCCTTGGTGCCTTCGATGGAGGACACATCCTTCAGTGGGACCACGATGTCAATTGCTATAAGAAAAGACAATTAATGATAATCGTGGATGTAAGGGTTGATTGTGTTTAGTGTTGGGTATTACTAAGATCCGCTACTTGTTCTGACTCTTACTTTGAACACTGAGTTTTCCCGAGGTGGAGATGTCTTGGGTGGGAACAACAAAAGAGTAGGAAGCAGCATCTTCTCTGCTGACATTCTCCACCAACAGCTTGTGAACCTGTTTGTCGATAACGATGTGGACACGGTCCGAGGCGGAGATGGCCTGTCCATTCTTCATCCAGGTTCCCTCAACATTCTCCTGGGAGAACCTGACCTCCAGCTGAGCGATGTCACCCTCACACACTGTGAGGTCAGTCAAGGGTTGAACCAAGGTAACCGGGCGCACTGAAGGTAGAAAGAACCCAGTATTATCGCTTTAAACTACAGTGAGCAGAGAATGAGTCACAATATGCAAACTGTATGAGAACTGCTCATTTACTTAATAAATGTTCTCTTTTTTGAGGACTACAAGTCATTCACGAGTCCCAGAAAGCACCAAGACAAGACACCCTCAATCAGAGAATATTTTCAAACCATTCATTCTTGAACACATTTAACAAATTTGATTAAACAGCAGAAATAGGCTATAACTCATAGAATCACTCAAAGAAGTATCCTGTTGATAAAGAAAGAATCCCTTTCAAGAGAATACATATGTGGCTCCTAATACTTCACTGCTCTCTCAAGTTGCTTACATTTCATCTTCAGTGAGGCGCTGGTCATCAGATCTCCACACACAAAGGTATATTTCCCTTGGTCTCCTTTTCTGATATCCTTGACTGTCAGGGTTTGTCTTCCTCGGCGAGAGGACATAATGTATTTACTACTGGGAGAGAGCTCCTTGTCTCCAAAGTACCAGATGCCCTCAGCGTCCTCACGAGACAGTTCAACCTCAAACTCTCCAGCGTAGGTCTCTGGCACCTCTATGTTCTCCATGTGCTTTACGAGCTCCAGGGCTGCACCTAGGTACAGAACAATATCAAGAACAGTTATCCACCCAAGTAAGGCCAAAGAAAACAGTGGATTGAAAGTTTCTGGGTGGGGAGATTACCTTCTACGTAAAGCCTTGCACTCGTCTTGATGCTCTCATCATCCACAACCATACAAGTGTATTCGGCATCGTCCCTCATTTCAATCATCAGCACAGACAGGAAGTGGACCTTTCTGTCTGAGTGCATTCTGTATTTCTCTCCAGAGAAGATCTCCATGTCGTTCTTGAGCCATTTGACTTTGACTAAAGGTTCGTTGGTTTCGCACTCAAAAGTCACCATGGTGTCTTTCTCATTTGCATTGACATCCTCCAGGTTTTGAGTAAAGCTGATTGCTGCCTTGGCTGCAATGAAAACATATGAAGTGAGACTTTGACAAAAATAAGGACATAGACAATTAGCATTTCGCTGGAGAGATTTGGTATAAAATAGCATTACCTTGCACAAGCAGGAAGGCATGGCTTGAGGCCTCTCCAGCGATATTCATGGCTTTAACCATGATGCTGGCAGAGTCCTCTGCTGTGACATCTCTGATCACCAGTTCACACACATGATCCTCAGGCCAGTACCAGTAAATACGGTCAGACTTTTCCACCAGAATTCCGTTCTTGAACCACTGGCATTCAGGTTCGGGTCTGCCCACAACTCTGAGTCGGAAACGAACCTCGTCCATTGGAGCAACTGTCTTGCTTGTGATGCGTTCCAGGATTTTGGGTGCTTCCATGCTGGGGGACAGCTGGATCCTCTCAGGTTTGATAGTGGGGATGGTGATTTGGCCTTGTTCCTCTATCCTCTTCCTTTCAGCTTCTTCTTTCTCTTTCAAGTGATGAAGCAGCTCCTCCTTAGTCTTCCTCAGTAGATCCTCATAGGAGTCATCTCTCTTACGAGACTTGAACTCCACAGCAGAGATGGACTCATAGAAACCTTCCTCTGTCCTGCGCTTGAACTTGCTCTTCAGTTCATCTGACTCCTCTGAGGTTTTCTCATGAACAATTCTCTGTGCCTTACGCAGCTTAACAACTTCCCTGTCCTGTGCGGCCTCTGCAGGTCGGTCGGCCTTCACAACGTCAAATCCCATTCTGCCGGGGTCATGTGGAGCCTCTGCAGCCTTCGGCTCTGGAGCACGGCGAAGGACAGATCTAAAGTCCTCTTTCTGTTGGATCTCCAGCTTCACAGTGTGCTCAGTTGTGCCCAGAGGATTGTCTGCGACAATCCTGACCTCTCCTGAGTCATAGGACTTGATGTCAACAATCTCCAAGTAGTAAATACCATCATAACGAAGTCTATATCTCTTGCTTTTGCGAATGAGTTGCCCATTGAGGTACCAGTTAACCTTGGGTGCTGGATAGCCGGTCACTCTACAGCGGAATCGTGCAATGTCGCCTTCCAGCACTCTTGCTGGCTCAGGAAGAAGGACAATCTCAGGTTTGGTCTTCTCATATTCTTCATCAGTGGTGACTCCTGTAGGTCCTCCTTCATGTGCTATGCGCTCGATCTCATCCATTCTGTGCAGTCCCTTCCTGCCTTCAGGAAGCTGTGTTTCTTCAACAAGGCCTTTCTCATCCTTAACGATCAGGGTGGCCGAGGTCTGGTCGACTCCAAATTTGTTAACGGCTCTGCAGGTGATGACGCCGCTGTCCCTGGCGTAAGCAACTTCATAGTCAAGACTGCAGTAGCCAAATTCATTGACCATGCGCAACCTATTAGCAGCCTCCAGAGGTTTGCCGTCATGGAGCCACTCCACTACCATGTTGGGGTCACCAATAGGGGTCAGTCTGCACTCAAAATGAGCTGGACCAAAGCGCTTCATTCTGATAGAGGTCAGCTTCTTCTTGAACTGTGGTTTCTGCTGCTTCTCTTTGTCGTAAAGGTCACCCTCCTCCCACTGCTCTTGACCATAGCGGAGATGAAGGGGCTCCAACTCAGGAGCAGCAATCTCCTTCGCCTTGTATGTTCCTTTGGTAATAATGAGCTTCCTCTCAGCTTGAGGAGCAGCAAAGTCCACCTCAACATTGACTCTGCAGCGAGTGGTGTCTCTGCCAGCCTTGTTGATGGCTGTAGCTGTGTACCAGGCACTGTCTGAGCCTGAAGGAGATGGGATCTGGAATTTGGCCTCTCCTTTAGTTCCTTCAATCCTGAAATACAGAGCCATTTCAACACAATGATCAACACAAGCTACTTAACTTCTACATACCTTTGTCAAATGATCAGGAAAACACACACAGCAAAACTTAATGATACGCACTTAATATGTGGGTGCTTCTGTGGGGTGATAATGTCACTGTTTTTCAGCCAGACGATGTCAGGCAGGGGGTTTCCAATGGCTTTGACAGCCAACTCAACCAGTGTGCCCTGCTTCACAGTGATGTTCTTCAACTTCTCAACAAACTGAGGGCGCGCCAGGCTTTCTCGAGCTGTGGATAGGGAAATATAACAGCAATGGCATTTAATAAAATATAAAGACTAGGAGCTCCAAAGACTGGGTGCCGCACTGACATACTAATCATCCCACCAGGTATACATTTTAGGCTGTATCTGGCACAGACTTACCATCAACATTAAGAGTTACAGAGACAGATGTCCGTCCAGCTCTGTTCTGAGCGACGACTGTCCACTCTCCAGTGTCGTTTGGCATGGCTGGGACAATGATCAGGGACTGGACACCGTCCTCTTTAACCACTATCTTGTGGGTGTAGTCATTGACCACTTGTTGTCCTGGGAAAAGAAGTATAAAATTGTTTTTTTGTGGCTGAAGCAATAGATAAAGGTGCATTTCTAGAATTAGTTGAGCCTTTCTCTTACCATTGTGGAACCAGTATGTGTCGGGCATTGGTCTGCCAACAACCTTTAAGTCGAATCTGGCGGTTTGCCCCTCGGAGCATTTTATAGAGGAAGGTTTCATGACAAAGACAGGCTTATAGAGTCTTTCCAGCTGAGCCTCATCTGTCTCGTCAAGGCGGCGGGCCGGAGAGCGTCCTGGAGAACGGCTGGGAGAACGTCCGGGTGAGCGGCTCAGAGAACGAGGAGATGTGGACCTGAAGAGGGAGCAGAGTCATTGATGCCCAGGTGTTCACAGTTATACAATTCAGAAATACTTCTTAGTCCTTTTAGACCTTACCTGATCCTCTGCATCGCTGGCTGTGGTGTGTATCTCTGAGGTGTTACAGTTCCGGACGGCTCTACATAGAGCTTTCCAGAGCTGACGGCATTTCCCTTCATGTTGGTAGCGAAGGCAGTGTACACGCCCTCATCCTCTGGTTGAACCACAGGCACACGAAGGCTGGCTCGTCCATCCTGAAGGACCTCCATCTGGTAACGGCCACCAGGCCTGATGCGCTGGCCATCTTTGTACCAAGCAATCTGGCAGAAGAGAGAAGATCATTTTATACACTGATATAACTTCTCAGCATCAAGTCCTAGCATTTAAGACCCCAAAATCACTTATCTTTAGGGCCAAATTTCTACTATCACTATACAGTGCATGTTCATGTTGTTTTCTTGGAAATTTCTTGTTTTCATATTAATCAGAGTCACATCAAAATTTGTTAACGAACCACAACTTTGAAACATTACAACAGGAGCCACAAAGGCCAATAACCTGATCCTGTTGATTAAATTACAAAAACCTAGGCATTATCTATCAGCCATATACCCAACTTTGATGTGGATCAAAGAAAGTTGCTTAGATTTTAGACTAGCCTTTTACATGTACATGATATGATAAGGTTTTCCACCCTGTACCTTTGGCAGTGGGTTTCCACCCATCTTGCAGTGGAAAGTGACGCCCATTCCGTCCATAATCCTGTAGTTTTTGACTGGCGTATCAAAGGTCGGCTGAACTGCCTCCTCTTCTGCTACAGTCACCGCCACCTCGCCATCCTCTGTCACCAGCTGTATGTAGGTAATCATCATGATACGCAGCTCGATCTCATGGATGATCCTCTCTTCAAAGGCTGAAATTAGAAATTCCTGCAAAAAAAAAAAAAGCAAAACTCAGTAATGTTTAGCATTAAATATGATGACATCAATATCACTGAACTCTGTGATTGGTTAAGAAAGAAAATACCGTTTCTGAGACATAGCTCATCGGGGTGGTTACTCTCCTGTGTTCCATCTCATATTCAGTCATGACCACAGAGGGCTCCTGAACCACTGTGGTTGTTGTTGTCACTTCAGTTTTGTATGTCACGTCATGTTGCTTCATGTAGGCTTCATATTCCTCTGTAGAAGCAGAAACACCATGAGACACTGGTGTAACACTGCCTCCCTCAATTCATTCAAGTGGTTTTTGTTTTGTTTTTTAAAGAGAGAAACAAAAGGATGGCAGTACCTTCCTCCAGCAGGCCAGCAGAGGCTGAGGCTTCTCCATGTGGATTCTTCAAAAAGATGGAGTATTCTCCAGCATCATCAGCAAAGGTCATGGAGATCTCCAGTTTGCATGCTCCTGTCTCCCTGTTGTAGGCAACTTTGTATCTAATGGCAAAAAACGAAGCAAAAGTTACCTGTTGTGTCACCATCAGAAAGAGGAAGCTGAGTTTCTAACACATCTAAAGCAAACACGAAAAAAAAGTAACAAGTTGAAGTTTTAAAATTAGAGCTCAGAGTAAATGTCTGTTGTAGAAAACTGAGTAGCTCTGGGAAGGTCATAGCTTTTAAGTTACATGACAACCTGTTCACCTATTATGTATAAAAAAAAAGATTAATATATAAAGGTTACAGACAGAACCTTTACCATCTGGAACCAGTCAAAAATTTTTGACAATGGTAAACAGGTGTGAACAGAATCTGGTACCTGTATCCAGTAGTGAGCGGCACACCACTCTTCTTCCAGATGACATGAGGTTTGGGATTTCCTCCGACCTGGCATTCGAACACGACACCTCCTCCCTCCACCAGCTTCTGGACGGTCGGTTTCTTGATGAAGAAGGGGGCGGCAGACTCTCCTGTACTCACCTCCGCCACCACCCTTTCCTTTGTCTCCATGGCAATACTGAAGGAAACCAACAGCTCCATCAACACGGAAACTTGTGGCTCATTAGGGCTACTGAACAACAACATATCAGACAACTCACGTTTTCTCTTGAGTGATTCCAATTTCAGTGACAGTCGTTTCCTCTCTGCTCTCGATCTCTTCTGACACTACAACAGAGAGTACAAGATCGATCAGCTTCACTAAATCTGAAAATCTGCATTTTTTAAATCACATCTACAGTTGTATGGTTGATATCAGGCTAAAAAGACAGTCACAAGTTTCAATTTATCTCTGAAATTAACTTATGAATCAATTTGGGGACTATCACAGTCAACATGACATCTTCCTCACTGCTGTGTGCTAACATAGCTGTACATGAAGACTGATTTGAAAATGTCTATACGTGCAACATTTCATACTGCCACATTTCAAAGCTCTATCAGTTTAGAAGTGGTGAATTTTAATGTTTTGTAATAGAAACATTTTGCCTTTATTTTATTTTCTGTGGGCTTTGCTGACAGAAATTCAGCTAGCTGTGGTAAAATGTGGAAACAGTCCACTGGTTAGCTAACATTAGCCATGGCTGCTCTGCACTACACACTAGCTGGGTCAGGCGAGAGCTAGCAACGCTCATTCGCAATTATTACGCCATCCCGGTGGTGAGTTGACATTGGTAGTCCTGATGTGTGGTTGAGCAATGCTAAAGGGGTTAGCAACACTTGGTGACCTGGGGGGGAGACCGAAGGTGGCCACGATGTTTCCACAGCAATGCTGTTAGGTCAGGACAACGCTACTAGAATTAATCACTGAATTAGCGGCGCCTCTAGCTAGCTCCCGCCTGACCTGGCTGCTGCGCATGTTTTCACGTTAACATAGCCAGCCAGCGTTGCGTCTCCTCCCAGGCCCAGGTGGTGCATAGTTCAGTAAACTGAAGAGCAGCAGAGTTAACCTACAGACCAACATGCAGATAAGCGATTAGTGGTTAATTACTGACATTCCTAATAGGTATATAAAATTGAGTGAATTAGAAACTCTAAGGGTTGTAATACTTTTCTGTCTTGGTTTAAATTCATTCATTCATTCTCTGTAACCTGTTAGGGGTCATGGAGGGGCTGGAGCCTATCCCAACTGACACTGGGCGAGAGGTGGGTATGACCTGGACAGGTTGCCAGACTATCACAAGACTGACACATAGAGACAGACAACCATTCACACCTATGGCCAATTTAGAGTCACCAATTAACCTGCATGTCTTTGGACTGTGGGAAGAAACCGGAGCACCTGGAGAAAACCCAGCTGATCTCTTATATTTTAAAGTCTTTACATTTTCCATTTGACTTTCCTAAAGAGCTGTTGGAGCAGCACTGCTCTCACAAATTAGCAACATAAAATTCTTTGACCACATTTGTTAAAATCTGCTGACTCACGCAACTTTGAAAAATTGTATTGTATATAATTCAAGTGCTTAAATTAATAAAGTTTGATAAAATCTAATTTTCTAACTGTTTCTCTTAATTTACACTTCATATCTTTTCTTAGTCAAACTGACAAGTCTTTTGTCCATCACCCTACTACACCGTTACCTTTGACGAGCAGGTAGCAGGAGGTGCTGACAGTGCCCGCCTCGCTGGTGGCGGTGCAGGTGAAGCGCCCGCTGTCTTCGGCGAACGCCTCGCGGATCACCAGCCGGGCAAATCCGCTCACGTAGGTGATCTGGAAGTCAATGGAGCTCTCGATTTTGTAGTCCTCTCTGAACCACATGATGGTGGGAGCGGGGTGACCGCTGATCTGACACTCCAGTGTCACTGACTCGCCCTCCGTCACTGTCACATTCTTGAGGCCCTGAACGGAGACACAAGTGGCAACATCAGACACCTTCCACATACTCAAACATTTACTTAGCAACATGTTTTTATAGTAATGACTTGTTTTGACGGACAGAAACGGGAAGTACTCACAGCGATCAGAGTGGGAGGAACAACAGCCTCCTGTGCTCTGGTGGGAACTGCAGCCGCCTCCTGAGGACAAACAACAACAGGAGTCAAAGACAGAAAACAACACATTGTTTTTCAGCGGTGGAGTCTGTGAGGATGGAGGGGTGTAGCCAGGTTAGAACAGATAAAACCCTGCAGAAAAGACAGCGGGACGGCGGTCAAGAGGTGAAGACAGGAAGAGGAGGGTTCCTCATGAGGCAGATGAAGGGCAGCGTATGATTGGCTGCTGCGTTACGGTGAAGTGCTAACAATCCACACGGGGTTAAACTGGGGGAGGTGAAGGGAGGATGACAGCGAGGGGGGTCAGACCAACCTGAGGCTCCCAGTCCTCAAACTCCTCCTCACTCACAGCCTGAGCTCCGACCAGCTGCGACTCAAACTGATATCTGACGTCTCTAAACGGTGGGGGGAGGGGCTCCGGCGTCACGCGCACCTCCACCGCCACCGCTCTGCGAGACGGACTGGGAGACTTGACGGGCTTGATGACCTTTCTGGGAGCGGAGGGGGAAGACAACTCTTTGTGCAGAGTGGCGATAGCAGAGCCAGCGATGGACACCTGACCGAGCCAACGAGAACAACGTTAACCGTCTGAAATAACTCCAGCTGAATAGGAACAAATCTTATGCAGTGAGTCCGAGCACTGCAGCAGACGTCTCCAAACACTAAGGTTAAGATTAAAGGGTGCGGTCAGTATTTTTCAGCCTGTTTTCCATGTTCTTTTGTTATCTGAGTGACTAACAGAGACAGCAATTATTGAGACTGGTCCAGTACTGAGACAGAGAGCTGCAGCAGTGAAACACGCTGTAATGTAACCACTCGGATCACGTTCACACCGTCAATGCATGTCTACTAAAAGTGCTTGTTTTTGCTTCTGACAGGCTCAGATTGTTATTATGTCATGGCTGAATATTTAGCTGATTTTGTCAATATGAAAAAGTCTGCAAGGTTCTGGAAACGTGACTTGGACACAAAACAGACTGGATCAAGAAAAAGGTAAAGTAAAACATTTCATTTCTCTGCAGGGATCCTTTTTATATTGTTGTCAGACACTAAGGCTGCTTTCAGCCCTAGAGTCGTCTCCTTTGGTCTGAATCAGGGACTCATGTTGTTCCAAAATTGTATAATTGCCTAGAGTTGGTTCGTGTTCTCACGGCAGCATTTACAAGCGGACCAGATCAAATGCCTTGTGTGAGAAAGCTGCTCTTGATTGGTCAGAATTTCCATGTGGGAAAAATCCAGGAAGTAAAGCAAACGTTGAAGAAGAGTACACTTGCAAGATAAATGTGACACTTTCTAATGTCACAATGGAGGGACAACTACGCAGGTTGATTTTAGCGCTGCTCATCGTGGACTATATTGCTGTCATTGTTCATTTTAGTCAAACCATACAGTTTGAAAACGAGGTGCGGCTCCAACTAGAAAACAATGTTTTGATGCATTGGATGTGCTGAATGTGCATATTAAGGCAGTACAGGAGGAGGTGCACATTAATAATCCTCCAGGACTGTAACATGTTCATGTTTAACCCAAAAAATGTGTCATGTGACTGCAGTTGCTTCACATCCAGGTCGGAACACCTTCTCACCACAAACCAACCGCACCAGAGTTCGTTTGTAACCAGACTGAGACCACCTCTTCAAGAAGGTCTCAGTCTGGTTGTTTTGGTGCACACCTGAGTGTGATTGCTGTGTTCACACCTGCACAAACGAACCGCACTGAGGGGGCAAACTAACCAAACAGGGCAGGTGTGAATGCACACTTGAATAACAATCTGAGCCTGACCCAGAGTTCAGACACCCCAAGCTCAATGTCTTCAATGCTGCAGCTCTGAGCCCGACAGTTCCTCGAAAGAAAAAGTCAAACATCATGACAAGGTTACCACAGCATGACACCCATCTACAGAGGAGCTGTCAGTGCAGATCACCAACAGATCAGGACTGATCCCTCATTTTCATGAACACAACATGACAGGAAATCTGACTACCGTGTCTGTGAAATTTCTTATCATTCTGCCCATAGACTCCATACTTGCTGATACCCCATCAACCATTTAGGCAGTATCAGAGGCTTTTCTAATACTGGTATCAGAACAAGTCTAGATGTGATTGTATTTAAATTATGTTGTATTGACCCAAAACTGTCCAAGTCTAGTTTTTACTGACTTACTGATTTAAAAAAGACCCCGTCTGTCTTAACAACAAACATCATTTTATCTCATTTTACTCGTGTAGTTTTTCTTTCTCAAGTCATTCAGACCTGTGGAGCCTGGAGTTAATATTTACTGTTCCCACATTATCTCGTCATATCTGGATCCAGACTATCTTAACTGAAACCAAAAACCTGAAGCCAAATTAAAACTAGAAATTCTTAGGAACGTTTGAGCTCATGTCTGAACATCAGATGGCTGTGATGCTGTGGATGCCTAAGAGGAAAAGTGATGTGATATTTTAGGATGATACTGTGAGGAGGAAGTCAAAGTGAAACACAGCACATAACCAAACGGTGGAGACTGCATGTTAAGATATGCGTGTGTTAAAGATGAGATGGAGGATTCTGGGTGATGGCGGCAGCGGCTACCTGCAGCTCCTCTCTTACCTCGTGGCTCGATTCATGTTTAGGAACTGAAACTTTAGAAACTGTGAAATGTGGAACTGGAGACGGAGCGAGACCAGTGTCCACGTGGGTAGAGAGCTCTGTGGTTGTCTGAATCTGGAGTGACCAACAGAGTTCAGAGTTTAAGAAAACTGAGACTTGTTATTGTCAGAGATAACATCTGATGTGAAACTCCTCCGACCTGTGACACCTGGACTCTGCGCTGCTCTGACGTCACAGCGACGGCAGCTGGAGGTTCAACAGGAAGTGTTTTCGTTTCAATGTGTTTCTCTTCAGCTGTTTCCGCCTGCTGTCTTATCTCCACCTCGACAGCCTCCTCCTCTTCAGCTCCGCCTCCCTCCACATGCACGGGCTGACGGACACGAGCAAGGTCAACGGCGGCCACCACTGTGGCCACCGCCCCGGCTTTACCCACTCCCTCAGCCTGGAGACACAAACACCAGCACACAAAGCTCAGGACCTCCACTGCAGAAAGTCAGGAGGGAGATACCCGACTGAAAGCCCCCAAAACTGAAACCACGCTTCAGTAATATTCATACAGGAAACAATTATCATCAGTGAACCCATGATGCCACACATCATGCAACATTAAGAGTGAAACATGCAGCTCGTGATGCAAAGAGAAGATTTGACTCTTTCCTGTGGTTTCATTACAAACAGCAGTGAAGAAGAAGAAGAAGAAGAAGAAGAAGAAGAGGAGGAGATACTCATGATGCAGGTCAGAGACATTCACACATCGTAAAGGTTAATTTACAGAGGTTTATGAATCTTTAATCTGTGGAGAGACAGTGTTGTATGCTGCACAGATTGTAAAGCTGTCTGAGTACAGAAACAAACTCCACCACAATAATCAAGTTTTCCGTCTAAATTACCGCAGAGTTGAACCAAATTTCCTAAAGATCAGCAATGGAAAAAAACATCTGAATTTTGGCATTTACTGAATTTACTGGAGTAATAATAATGTATCATGACCAGTGATCTAGTGGCAGTTGATGGTGGTAGTTGAAGAGGTGGGTGGACTACTGAATGGGTTACTAAGGAAGAAGTGAGTATATTCTCTTATATACTTTAGTGGCTATTTGGCTGATAGGTGGGTAAACTGCCAGAAAAAGAGGTGGGTATACCCAGTATACCCTCCACTACACCACTCACTGTGACTTAGGTATCATAATATATCATATCATGACTTAAGTATCTTGATAATATTGTATCGTGACTTAAGTATTATGATAATATTATATTGTGATTTAAGTTTCGTGATAATATCGTATCGTGACTAAGTTATCTCAATGATGTCATATTGTGACTTAAGTATTGTGATATCGTATCATGACTTAAGTATCAGGATAATATCATTGTGACTTTAGTACCTTGATAATATCATATCATGACTTAAGTATTGTGACAATATATCACAACTTGTGCATCATGATATTGTATCGTGACAAAACTATCAATACCAAGGTATTGTGATAATATCATATTGTGATTTAAATATCATGATATCATATCACGATTTATGTATCATGATATCGTATCATGACTTAAGTATTGTAATAATACTGTAATGTGGGAGTTTTTGATTTGCTGTTTTGACACAAGCGGAGCTGAACATGTGTTGTGGTCCTAAGGAGAGGACAGGTGAATGGACTGTTAAAGGGACAGAGGTTCATCAGGTGCTCAGTAAAATCAACATCAGCTTCTGAGACATGAAGAAATTAAAATAATCAAGAAAGAGTGAAGAAAGAGGAATGAAGTGGTGGTTTGAGCAGCAGGTGGAGGTGATGGAGGCAGCAGACTGGTGGTGGTGGTGGTGGTGGTGGTGGTGGTGGTCTACCTGCTCTCCCGACACAGCGGCCTCAGACGGCCCTCGGCTGCGAGCCTGATCCACAGCAGCCACCACAGTCGCCACGGCGACGCTCTTATCGTCCTGGTAAACATGCTCGTCCTGACGCGTTCACAGCACATCAACACATTAACACATGTTCATCCAACACACAGGCAGAGCTGAGCCACTGAGTCATTTCATTCACATTACTCACGATGCATTCACTGACAATCAGTTTATTCACATCTAAAGGAGAATTCCATTATTCTGAACAGTGGAATTTCCCTTTATCCAATCTGCAGGAACAAGTCAAGCTCGAAAACACAGTCACACTCATTTGCCATAAGACTGTGGGATAAATATAATGTTGTATTTTTAAACTGAAAAAACTAAATTCAAAAGATTGAAACTCACTGACGTTTGAAAGCATGAAATCTAATAAAAAAGCTTTTGCTGGATTGAAACTAAGTTTTGAAGGCTGAAAAAAATTCTCCTAAAACCCAGTTCTGTATTTGAGCTTTCCTTCGTCACAACTGCAGCGGCCTTTTTACAGTGTTTCTCAAACACGTGTTCAGAGTTTCACATTCGTCAGTTTCCTCCTGATGTATTTAGTTTGTTTTCCAGTTTTTAAATGTTGTAAATGTCTGAAAACTGATGTGCATGTGTTGGGGGAAAAAAGTTTTGAAACCCTGACTTTCAAAAGAGCAAATCTTAATGTTGAAAATTTGCAGATGTAGATTTGCACTTGTGTTGCTTATTTTTACAACACAAAACTATTCAGAAAATTATTTTTTTTATTAGATTTCCAGTTGTCAAACATTTAGTTTTTTTAGCTTTGAAATTATATTTATCCCACAGCAGACCAGTTCACCATCACTCTGTAGTTTCATTCTTCCTCTGAACAGATGTACTAACTGATATTTTAACAAGCCTGCATGCAGCATCACATCACAGAGAACTCCGGTGTCCTCACCTCTCTGCTGCCGGTGACCTGCTGCTCCCAGTGCTTCTCCATATGAAGCTGGGCAGCGCTGCTCACACTGGTCATGCTGGTCATAGTGGTGTAGCTGGCTTCAGCCATGTAGTCTCCCTGCTTCCAGGGCGGCAGGACCTCTGGAGAGGCGGACACCTGTGAGAGGACGGAAAGAAAGAAAGGTTGTCTTTACTTCAGTGGACGTGTCACAGATGATGGAAGTGTCTGCTGGACGTTTAACTCTTGATAAAGGTTCTGACCTGTTTCCTGGACATGATGGGAGATTTGACCGGTCTGATGGGAGAGATAGAGGACAGTCTGGTGGTGGGGGAGACGGGTCTGCAGACAACACATGATGTAGGTTACAACACAGTGACATCACAGAGTTTATCCATTTATTTCTGTATCATGTTTTTTAGAATCTTGCTTCTTGATTCTTTTGACAATGGTTATGGATCAGTATCCTGCAGGACTGATTCTGTGCCAGAGGTCGTACCTAACAGGTGCGGGCGTCGGCCCCTTCACGTGTCTGACAGGTGAAGGTGACTGCTGGCGTCCTCCTGTCACCTTGGTGATGAAGGACGGTGGGGACTTGGAGGTCGGCTTTGGGGGAACCCGGGGAGGGGTTTTGTGAGCCAACTGCTGAGTCATCATTCCTCCTTCGACCTGCATCTCCATCATGGTGGTGGCTTGGAAACTGGACTCCACCTTCTGAAGGGAAAAAAACACATATTGAGGGATGTGTCTTAAATTAAGTTTTAATAAATACTCAAAATAAGAGCTTGTGTTTTATGACTAAAAGAAAGAATTTTCAATTTATAAGTTTTTATATAAGTTATTAATTTATATTATTTTCAGACTATATTTATTGTTATATCATTTTCATATAATTTCATTTTAAATTTAATTTACAAGGTTTCTCCCTTACAAACACCGCAAGACCTTCACACTGATATTCACAAAATTTCAGCACAACTTACAGCCACAATATTACAATATGTGAAATGACACAGGGCCAAAACCTCCACAAATGTGCATTAATTTCACAGGACAACATAACTTTTTTCAGTTTTTACAAAGATTTACAAATATTTTTCATAAAAATCCTAAATTACAGAACTACAAAACAAATCCATGATGGAGAAGACAAAAGACTGAACATCTCCAGGTTTTGACATTTGTGTAGTAACTTTGCTTTATATGAGAATCACATTTTTTATTTCTATTTACAAATCAGAAAAAACATAAAAGATAAAATATGTTATGTGCAAGAATGTGAAGAAATCCACCCTTTTGAGGAAGTAGAAAGAGACTTGTGTCGTCTTAAAATTTAATTTTAGACAAAAATTTAGACATCAGGGAGGTCATTAATATACTGTATATGAAGAATAACAGGGGCCCCAGGATTGAACCTTGTGGAACACCACAGACAAGAATTATTGAGGTTTACTGAGTTATCGAGACAACAGTTCATTTCCCATCACTCTGAGTGCAGGGTTTTGATGGTTCCAGTTTTAATTCATGAAATTTCAACAGATAACTAAATTTTCTTCTCAGATGGACCCTGGTTGTGTTTTTTCAGTGAGTCTCACCCTCTGAACTCTGGTTTGGGAAGCCAACCCAGCCATCTGGGATGTGGACACAATCGTCTTAGTTTTCTTAGTAGGTACAGCTTCTTCACCTGTAGCACAAATAACCATGTGGGTTTAGGCTGATCCAGATACTAAACAATGGAGCTGCAGGATGTGAGGAAAATAAAAACCACATACAAAACCAACACTGACCCAATTTTAATGCTAGAGAAGAGAGCAAAGAGAACTGTAATTCGATCACATTATTATTATAAATCAACAAACACTTGATTTATTAATTAGATGCTTTAAACTGTTGTAGTGTATCTAGTGTATCTTAAAACTGCACAGATTATGTATAAAGCACAAAAAGTAACTTGCTTCCCGAGTGTATTCAGAGGTGGTTTGAAATTAGAGAGAGCCAGTATGAATTCTGGGTAATGGGTGTTAAAAAAAAAGAAGAAGAAGAGGAGTCAGAGGAGTTAACCTGTTGATCTGGTGTGACAATGAATTATAAAAAAGCATAGTTCAATTTGCAAATTAATAAAATACAAAATAAAAATAAGGTGGTAAAAAAACGTAAAACTCGTATGACTAATATAGTGTATGAAATGGTTTAGAATTTTGATATTATTTCTGTTTTTGTCGTATCTGTTTTGTTTTGCTTTTTTGTATAATCTAAACCTAATAATGAGTTATTTATGACAATATGTTCAGTAAAAAGGGCAAGTATAAGTTCAACCTTCAGCCTACAGTTTTTGTTTTCTTTTCATTTAAATGCCTTGTTGTTATTTAATCTTTATTATGTGCATTCTTTTTGAAAAACTGTTAACAAGGATCAAAATAAAATACTCAAAAGATCCCTGAGTGTAATGTTGATATCATGATAACCATTTTAAAAAAGCAATATATTGTGCAGTCCTATTAAACAACAACTAAATCCAAATGAATCATGTGTTCTGATGCTGTTAAAGGCTCAATTATAAAACATGTTTCATTCTGATGATGTCATGTACAGTGGTTTGAATTTACATGTTTAAAAATACTGAGGGGGTCTTGATAGAAAAACATGTCTCACCCTGAACCAACAGCTCAGCAGTGGAGGTGGCTCGTCCGCTGCTGTTGGTGGCGGTCACAGAATATGTCCCAGAATCCTCTGGGAAGGCCTCAGCAATCAGCAGACTGTACAGGTCTCCCTCCTGGAGTATCCTGAAGTCAGCTGAGCTCTGGATCTCGGCTCCCTCTCTGTAGAACTTCACCACAGGTGTTGGGATACCTGAGACTCTGACGTCCAGCCTCACCTGGCTGCCCTGTCTCACTGAGGAGCTCTGCAGCCTCTGTAGGAAGTTTGGAGGCGCCGTCTCAGCTGCAGGGACACAAAACATACGTCTCATGAGGCTGTTTTTTATGAGGACATGTTTATTCTAATATTATGATCGTTGCAGGAAAATAAAATGGTTGCAGCAGGTAAATCCAGGTGGGAAATTAAACAGACATCCATTTCAGACACAAGGATTAGATGAGGTCTAAGACAGCAGCCAGAGTCCAGGACAGAGAGACAGACCAGTGTGATGTAAAGCTGAACACATGAGTAAAGATCAACTCTGACCCCTGAGCTCTCTTTAACATTATCGAGCTGGTTTTTGTTGACATGTGGAGTTTTTTGTAACGGTAGACTCAGACATGTAATCCCCACAGGTTCAAGTTCAACTTGTTAATCACTTAATAAAGTTTAGATTCCTCTTATGGAAAGTTATGCTGCAACAGCTGCATCTATATCGGTTTTATCACTGGATTAAGTGACAGGCCCCGCCCCCCAGCTGAGAGACAAATTTAGACTCAGAAACACAATATTTCACGTTTACTCCTCTCAGGAGCGACGAATGAAGCTTCTATAATATTAAGATTAAAATGAATCTGACATAAATAAACATTCCATGGTCACAGCTTTTTGGTAACACTTAACTTTGGTCACACTTTCTGTGTTTTTGTAGTCGTTAGATGTCTCTTAGTGGTCATTTTGTGTCTCTTTGTGGTTGTTTTATGTCTTTGCGGCCATTTTGTGACTCTTTGAAGTCAATTTGCATCATGTTGTGGTCATTAACTGTCTCTTTGTGGTCATTTACTGTCTCTTTGTGGTTGTTATGTGTCTCTTTGTGGTCATTTACTGTCTCTTTGTGGTCATTTTGTGTTTCTTTGTGGGCAATATGTATCTTTTTGTAGTCATTTACTGTCTCTGTGGTCATTATGTGTCCCTTTGTGGTCATTTTGTGTCACTTTGTGGTTGTGATGTGTCTCTTTGTGGTCATTTTCTATCTCTTTGTGGTCATTTTGTGTCTCTTTGTGGTCATTTACTGTCTCTTTGTGGTCATTTTGTGTCTCTTTGTGGTCATTTACTGTCTTTTTGTGGTCATTTTCTATCTCTTTGTGGTCATTTACTGTCTCTTTGTGGTCGTTATGTGTCTCTATGGTCATTTTGTATCTCTTTGTGGTCATTCACTATCTTTTTGTGGTTGTTATGTATTTCTTTGTGGTCGTTATGTGTCACTTTGTGGTCATTTCATGTCACTTTGTGGTCATTTTGTGTCTCTCTGTGGTCATTTTGTGTCTCTTTGTGGTCGTTATGTGTCACTTTGTGGTCATTCCATGTCCCTTTGTGGTCATTATGTGTTTCTTTGTAGTCATTATGTGTCTGTGGTCATTTTGTGTCTCATTGTGGTCGTTATGTGTCTCTTTGTGGTCATTATGTGTCTCTTTGTGTCTCTTTATGGTCATTATATGTCTCTTTGTGGTTGTTTTGCGTCTCTTTGTGGTTGTTATGTATCTCTTTGAGGTCATTTGTGTCTCTTTGTGGTCATAATGTGTCTCTTTGTGGTCATTTTGTGTCTCTTTGTGGTCATTTACTGTCTCTTTGTGGTCATTTTGTGTCTCTTTGTGGTCATTATGTATCTTTTTGTGGTCATTTACTGTCTCTTTGTGGTCACTATGTGTCCCTTTGTGGTCATTTTGTGTCACTTTGTAGTTGTGATATGTCTCTTTGTGGTCATTTTCTATCTCTTTGTGGTCATTTACTGTCTCTTTGTGGTCGTTATGTGTCTCTTTGTGGTCATTATGTGTCACTTTGTGGTCATTTCATGTCACTTTGTGGTCATTTTGTATCTCTCTGTGGTCATTTTGTGTCTCTTTGTGGTCGTTATGTGTCACTTTGGGGTCATTTCATGTCACTTTGTGGTCGTTTCGTGTCTCTTTGTGGTCGTTATGTGTCACTTTGTGGTCATTTCATGTCTCTCTGTGGTCGTTTCATGTCTCTTTGTGGTCGTTATGTGTCTCTTTGTGGTCGTTATGTGTCTGTGGTCATTTTGTCTCTGTGGTCGTTATGTGTCTCTTTGTGGTCATTATGTGTCTCTTTGTGTCTCTTTATGGTCATTATATATCTCTTTGTGGTTGTTTTGTCTCTCTTTGTGGTTGTTATGTGTCTCTTTGAGGTCATTTTGTGTCGCTTTGTGGTCATAATGTGTCTCTTTGTGGTTATTTTGTGTCTCTTTGTGGTCATTATGTGTCTCTTTGTGGTTATTTTGTGTCTCTTTGTGGTTGTTTTGTGACTCTCACCTGTAACAAGGAGTTCGGCGGTGCTCGTGGCTTGTCCAGCGCCGTTGGTGGCCCTGACAGAAAATCTTCCGCTGTGTGCGGCAGTCACAGCGGGGATCCTCAGAACAGCGCGGCCGTCGCTGAACGAGATCTGAACGCCGGGCAAAGCGGCGGCGGAAAGAACCTGGCCATCACGGAACCAGCTCACCTCAGGAACTGGAGAACCTGCGGAGGAGAGAAAAAACAGATGGGACTGCTGTCAGAGTACCCAAAGAACCTCATTAACGGGATGCTTCAACATTTATCTGGAAGCTCTTCTTCCTCAGAGTCAGAGGATGGTATCTGTTTCATCTCTGAGTGTCTAGTACAGGAAAGACCCATTTAACCAAGCTTAGCACAAAGACTGGAAGCAGTTTCCATCTGGTTCCAGTGTCTGTGCTAAGCTAGGTTAACAGTTTCCCCCTGCTTCCAGTCTTTATGCTATGCTAGGCTAACAGTTTCCCCCTGCTTCCAGTCTTTATGCTATGCTAGGCTTACAGTTTCCCCCTGCCTTCAGTCTCTGTGCTAAGCTAGACTAACAATTTCCCCCTGCTTCCAGTATCTGTGCTAAGCTAGGCTAACAGTTTCCCCCTTCTTCCAGTCTTTGTGATAGCCATCTTTTCATTTTACTCTAAGGATTTAAACAAATAAAAATCCTCCACAGTGACTAAATACAACATTTTATTTAGCTTCTAAGTTAATCCTAGTTTCAGCATATCTATCAGACTTTCAGTAATAACATAAAATGTTTGTTTCACATCATAAAATCTGAGATTTGAAGCATCAGTTGAGTCAGAAATGTTTCTTACCACTAACTTGAGCCTCGAACGTCGCGGCACTACCCTCTAATGCCACGACGCTCTGCAGCGGCTGCGTGAACGTCGGCGCCTGTGTTGACATGTTGGTCGGCACCCTGAACATAAACAAAGAAAGACAGGAACAATTAACAGGAACATGGGAAACTTAAAAGATTTACCTCAGAAACTAAAACATTAAAACAGAAAAACAGAACTTTTCTACCTCAATTGAAGCCTCTACAGTTCACTCATTCTAATAATAATATGTGGTAATTTCTTTATTTATACACAGTTATCAAACAGACATAAGCAAAAACCACACTAATATAATTATCTTAGTGAGAAATTATAATAAAGTGATACAGTGAAATTAAAATTTTTATGAACATCTTTGCTGCAGTAACCAAAACAAACACCAGAGGAGCCACTTCAACACTACATACTGCTGACTGGACACCAGAGCATGCTGGGAAATAAACATTTAACATTTTCTCTGTATTTTGTCATACGAGACAGAAGAAGAGGAAATATTATTATTAGTAAGGAAATATTATAATTCTGTTTTATCGACTCAACGACCAGTTTTCATTTCACCAAAGACGACCAGCCGCTCTGAGGGAAATCACCACATTTTTATAAAGTCACAATGTCAGTTTTTCAGTCCAGTAAACAGTCACTGCTCTCAACTGCATCATCACACAATGATATCACTTTTACAAAAAATAGATGTTTGAATTTCCAGTTTCTGTAATTTATGTCTGAGTATCTCATCTAAATAAGTTCTGGTAATAAGTTCTGGTATCACCTGAAATGTGTCTACAGAAAACTGTAAAACTGTCAAGAGAAGAAAGGTGCCACCAAATGTCTGATCAGATTCATGATGATCACATGGTTCCTGAGTCATCCACAGATTTATCATCAAATAAAGATCAAACTTGACTCAGCAGAATGAGAGATATCTTCTTTTTCATTTGAAAAGTTCTTCCTTATAAAAATTCTTTAAAAAATGTGTCCTTTCAAAATAAATAAATAAATAAATAAATCTTCTGTATCAAAACCTGGCATCGACAGTACCCACAATGCAACTTAACTACCAAGGCTTTCTGCCTCTGTGACACTAAAGGCTTCATACTAGTGTTTTTACATATGCAGTCGTATTTTATGAATATTTCTATTTAAAAAAAACTTCTTGCACAGCTGCTTGTGTTTTTTGAAATTTGACACCTTCACTTGTTTAATAACAAAAAAAGCCTTTTGTGGAAACAAAAAGCCTCGAATTTTAGGTTTACTGACAACATTTGATTATATTTATGAAACTCCAACATATGAGACACTGTCAGAGACAGAACGAGAGGGACTTCTTCAAATCACGTCCCTGCTAATAATAATAATAATAATAATAATAATAAATATAGTCGGGGTTTAAGCCAGCATGGATCCTTAAAAGTTGAAAGCTGGGTAGAATCAAGACCTTTGACAGTTTACGACGCCTGTATTAAAGATCAACAACAGTTTTTTTTAACAATCAGACATATGCTCATTCATTTACATTTAAATCTCTACAGGGCCACGCTCTTCTTTGAAAACACTGTCGCTTCCTTTTGGTAAACTGCAAAAACATTTTGGGGACATGCTTTAATGGCTTGATTTAAAAAGTCCACTGAGTTTGTTGATGTTTGAACAAACTCTCATTGATTATGGCCAAATTTTGTGAAAGGCCGTTGCACTTATTTGGAACTGGTGGTGCCCCCTATTGACCGGTTTTGAAATAACACACATGGCTCATCGTTATTATTTAACATACCCTGCAAGTTCTGTAATGATAGGACAATCAATTTCTGATTTCTAGTCTGATTTATGTTATCCCTTGCCCATTTTTTGGATGTGTCGTGCCCCCTGGTTGTCAATTTAAATTAAACTTTGAGGATATGTTCCTGGTATGTGTGAAGACGTTGCTTGCAAGGTTCGTGATGATTAGCCCAAACATTGTGGAATTATGTGCTTTGGGCCCTTTGGGCTTGAAACCCTAATAATAATAATATAATAATAACGTCAGAACTAGAAAACCAAACATATGAACAAAAGAAAGAGAAAATAATCTGAAAGCAATGTCTGTCAGAAAGAGATTAGTACAATCTGGAAGCAGGATGATCCTCAAACAGCTCAACAAGAAACGTTTTGATGTTTAACAACAAAACAAGAAGTTGTGTGACGTTCATTCAGCACAGCAAAAGAAATCTCCAAAGCACCCGTCTTTGAAACCAGATACAGCAACTTCACTCTGCCGGGATCTTTTCTGAACCTCAACCAAATAATTATATTTGATCTAAACTGACGAAGGAGATCAAAAATGTTTATATGTGTCAGTTAGGAAAGAACTGACAATCTGATCTCTTGTTCAGGTTGGACGTGTTGCTAAAATGTTTTGTTTGTAAAATTTTGTTGGAATGGAAAGTATTGAAGTATTTGTTGTAAATAAAGCTGGATATCAAACCTCAATAATTATCTGGTGCATGAATGAAAAAGTGTCAGATTATCAAAAAGCTCAGATCAAACTCTTCAGAGCAACTGATTTAAATCATAAGCGCCACTTTTAGTCCTTCGAAATTACACAAATTCGTCGTGTTCAGATGATTTTTAACATTCACAAAACGTCTTCTGGTAAATGATTAAAAAAGCTGATCACTGATTATGTTGGTATTTTACAGCCGATCAGTAACAGCAAATATAGAAAACATGTTTGACATAATTTAAAATCAGAAACAGCAGTCACAAGTTTTACACTGTAAAATCAGTCACAAACGCTGCAGATCAGAATGTGTTTAACTCTCACATCTCCACATCAGTTATTGACTATATATAATATCTATTATCACATTTAAAACATGTATAAAACACATGTATGAAGCCTGACAGTGGAGGGACAGAAGTGGTGTCAGTGACAGACAGTCGACCTGCTGACAGAGACACTTTAACTCTACATGATAAAGATGGAGGGTTGTTATTTTTAGGAGGTCTGTTCCTGGAGGTCGTCCAGGCTCCGCAGCGTCTGACTGATGAACCACCGGCTGATCTCAGAGCAGATTAGAACACCTGTTACAGGGTCTGACTGATGAACCCCCAGCTGATCTGAGAACAGATTTAAACACCTGTTGAACCCCTGGGGAGGGCCGGTGTCAGATTTACAATCCGGTTCAGTTTCAGGTCGTCTTCAAGGTGCATGGCCACTTTACTTTTACTTTGTTTATATTTTATTCAAGATTGATGTTTTTCCAGTTTTACTGCAGGTTTGTTTGCACTATTTTAATACTAAAATAACTATGGGATATTATAAGTTAGCTCAAGAGTAAGTTTTTATCAAAAAAAATATGACTTCTTTTTAAAATGATATTTTCAACTGCAGGAATGGAAACCTGACACATTTTTGGAACTGCACTGTAGTTGGAGTATCTGTTAACAAAAACAAGTCTTTGCAAAAAAATTAAATAAAATAATTATAGAAATATTACAGTTTTTAAAAAGAGCAGTAACAGACAATACATTACAAAATTGAAAATACATTAATTTATGTTAATATTTAAGAACATAAACTAATAAATTCTATTTTATTTTGTATTTTGTTTGAATTTTGTTTTTAATTTTTTACGATTTTAATACGTTTCAGTGAATATACAAGCTTCTTAGACAAAAGGTTTAGTTTCAATAAAAATGATAATAGAAATCTTTGTAAAGACACTTCACACACAAATACTTCACTTCAATAACACCAACCCACTTCACTGCTGTGTCATACAGAGAGTTTAGCAGCGTGTCATTTGTGACAGCGTAGACAGACAGGAAATGTAGAAAATGCATAGATACATAGATAGATAAGATTTGGTAAGGTAAGGTAGATAAGACGTGGTGAGGTAAGGCAAGATAACTTAAATTACGATAAGCTCAGAAAAGACAAGATAAGGTAAGATACAATAAGATTAGATGTGGTGAAGTGAGGTAAGGCGAGGTAAGGTAAGGTAAGGTAAGGTAAACCTTTATTGATAATTATACCCATAGTTATAACTCTAACATAAGAATGACAGTGACAGTGGTGCAATTAATGATGCAAAAATCACTGTGTCAAATAAACATAAAATATAATATGGTAAATTCTGACTATTTTATTATATAATTAGAATGATGGAAACTGAAGTTTGAACTTAAAAAGTGGTTAAAAACATCTGTTTGTGTTAAAGCTCCAACTGTGAGGCTGCACATAACTATCAGTTTTATTATTTACAGACCTGCTGATTATTTTCCTAATTTATTAATTGTTTGGTTAAAAAAAGTGAATTAAAGACTTCCAAGATCTCAAATGTTTGTTTGTTTTTGTTTTGATTTTCCGTTTACAGCCAAAAAAGATAAAAAGGCAGATACAAATATTTGACAGACTGGAACCAACAATTGTTGATGTTTATTATTCAACAAAAACTGATCACATTTTGTTTTCCTTTGTTCTTTAGGTTAAGTTTCAATAAAGAAAACATTAAGAAGTTTGAAAGTTATGGTCAAACTGAAGTGTGACGATGTCAGTATTAAATATGACGAAGTGACATCAGGGTGTTTTCCTGCTCTAATGTGTTGGAGTTTACTGATCCTTCATGAACTTGTGTTGGTCTGGTTGAACCTGCTTCGACCTACTTGGACCCATTTGGCCTCGACTGTCTCTGATTGGCCCGTTAGCTTCCTGACTGAGCGTCACATCCTGTTTATTACGGAATATAAAAACACCTCTGACTGGTCTGAACGTTGTGCAGAGACTCACTGAGACGCTGAATTCACACAAATACAGACTAAAGGCTGATTTTTAACTTTAAGACAAATTTAAGACCCATATATTGTTTGTAAAAACTGTTTTATGTTTAAAATATTTCTAATGTTTGTCTTTTTTGAAGTGTTTATTTTCACGGTTTCAGCCGTCTATGTTTGGTAGTGTTTATTATCCAATAAACCGATTGATTGTTTTAAGTCATTTTTGAAGCCAAAATGAAAAACATTCTCTGGTTCCTGTTTGTCTGATATCGATATGACTGAGATACATTTGGGTTTTGAATGTTAAGTTCGTTAAAATGAGACCTGAATACGTCAGCTTGAACTTAAGAAAATTTGCAATTTTGAAAATATTTTCAGACTTTTTTTTAGACCAATAGATTACTTTATGATATAGAAAAAGATCAGTTTACCCACGAATTATTATGTAATGAAAATACTCGAAGATAAATTACTGTAAATTTCTATATTCTATTGAGGTGTTTTAATGGATTATATGAGCAGTTTAAACACTTAATTTTGATTTTTCTTTTTTTACTTAATTTGGAAATTTAAAAACTAAATGTGCATTTTCAAGGATGGCTCTCTCACACTTTGGTACATTTTAAGGATTTTTTTCCCCTTAAAAAAACCCTTAAACAGTGGAGATAAAAGTAATATATGATGATCTGTTCATTCATCCAGTAAAAAAAAAAAACAAATTTCAGGCAAATGCAAACATTTCAATCTTATTGAAACATTTTGGGAGTTAATTAAATGAAAATTAAAATAAGGGCAACTTGAAATGTTGGGTTGTAAATCTTAAGTTTGTTTTTACTCCTTCAAAACCCTTAAAAACATTATAATTAATTATTCACTTATCTATTAAAAAATATCAACAAATATCAGGTGAATGCCTTAATTTGCATTTTGTAAATTTAAAGCTGTTTTCTCTACAAATCAAAAAGCCCTTTACAAAACCTTAAATATGACATTGCACTTATTTAGAATCCCTTAAAAAAATTATTTTTACAACTGAAAACATTCCTAACATTTAACTGATCATCAGAGGATCTGTCAAATATTCCACATTAGTGGGTAAATTAAGCGGAAGGTCAAATATCCTCAAAACCCGTTAATTTGTTAAGGGTTTTTTTTTTTTAAATGAGGATGATTTTAAGAGTTTTTTTTACATTCAACCCCCTAAAAAACAATAACTTTGTTTTAAATTAAGATGTTTGTGTGTGTGATTTAATTAAGGGCATTTTAAGGGATTTTAAGATGCTTCATGGTGACAGAAACTACAAACAAACAAACAAACAAACAACCTCAGCGTTAAACAGCAGAAAACATTTAAACAACTTTATTTTTTTCAGACACAGCTGTGATCGCCACCACGTTTGGTTTGATTTAATCTATTTTCTCTGTGTAACTTTAAAGCCTTTGATAAATTAAGAATCCACGTGTTGGCTACATGTTTCAGTGTAGAATTAATCCGAGAGTCCCTGAACGCCTCGTCAAAACAGATCTGGTTACAGTTAATCTTAACGTGATAATGACTCCACCACTGCATCTTCATCATCACTGAACATCATCTCAGCAGATTATTTTAAATCATCAAGTCATTAAAACGTGAGCCGACAAGTTTCAAACGTGAGCTAAAAGTGACCGAACGTCAGGGGAAATATGTTTACTAAAGCACTCATGTGAGGTATTTACACCTTAAGTATTTCCATTTTCTGTTACTCTGAACTCGATACACCTACATCCAAATCATACGATTGTCTTATTGAATATGATGAACTGTAGTTTGTAGGAGCTCAGCAATCCAATAATAATCATACACACAGTATAATAATGTTGCACTCTGAGTACTTAAATTAATTGTTCCTTTACTTTTCTCATAATACCTCTGAAATTCTACTTAAGCACAATTAACTTTTACATTGTAATGAAGTGTTTTTACACTTCTAATATTATTATTAATTAATATTATTATTAACAACTTAGTAAAGGATCTGATTTTTTATTACTATAACCTTTTTAATCATCCACTCTGACTGTTTTTTTTTTAGTTTTATGTTTTTTATTTATTTCATCTGTGTTCTGAACTTATTTCCTGTATTTAGTTTTCTTTTCCAACAATTATCTGATGTAACATTGAATTATCTTTTACAATAGATACTTCCTTTTTATTTATTTTTCCATTTACATAGATTTTTTTTCTATTTTAAATTTAGCCTGAAATTATCTTCCTCTCTCAAAGGACAAAAATATTTGTGTACAATGTTTAATAAGAAAGAAGGAGGTTTTATGATGTAACAAAAACCCAACAGAGGCATTTCAGTTGAAAAAATAAAAATAAAAAACAATTGTAGGACTCATATGAACAGGACTGTCCCATTAATGTCAACAGCTCAAATCATCATTCAAACCTCCTGTTAGCACTCAACTTTTAATCATCGTCTCAAACTGGCAAACCAGAGTCAACATCTCATCATGAACATGATTCAGAGTTTCTCACAGTTTGAGAGTTTATTCTGGAGAAACAACAGACTTTTTATATTTATTTTTCTCTCTCAGCTCTGATTTCAGCAGACTTTTGAAAGGAAAGATCACTGAAATGTAAAAATATTCAGATTTTGTGGCTCAGGTTTCTAAAACACTGAAAAATCAAATCCTTTATTCCAGATGAGAAGACAGTGATCACAGTGAGGAGGGAGCAGGACGATGATGGTGGAAGTGAAAACCTGCAACACAAACTAAAGTCAAAGCTTCAGGATCAAACTTGTGACACAAATTAATTTATATATTTGCAGATGAGCTGGAGCTCCTCCACTCACACCTAAAATAAACCTTAACGACAGACCAACAGCTGTTCACTCTCCTCCAAAATAAAAGCCTCAGAGAAGTGTCCCTCAGTGAGACGCTTCCTCCCCGCAGAGCTCTGTGTAATGTAACGACACACACTAAAAATAACACCCCCTCCTCCACCTCCACCTCCTCCACCACACCTCAGTTTGACTGACAGTCACCATGTGGCACATAGCTGGAGGAGCAACTGATAGCCCCGCTGCTGATTCCCTTAAAAAGCCATCAGGCGTCCAGCTGAGAGTCCAGTCTGATGCTATCAGGGCTATTCTGGGAGACGTCCCATTATAACCTTCAACACAGCAAAAAGCCCCCAACACTTCCAAAAGTCCCTAAAAACTGCATTGAGTTTGGTCAGTGTGTGTGGTCAGCTGCCACCTGTCAGTCACAACACGTCCGAGAACTTTAAAGACACTTACTTGTGTGCACAAGGATGCCTGGGCTGCCCAGGGGAGGGCTGTCGTCAGGAAATCAAAAATCTCTTTATCCAGAAAGTTTAGTCACAGAATCCAGAAGGAGAAACGTTGAGCCTCGAAGGAACCCCAAACTCAAAAAAACAAAACTACAGTGAGAGCTGTAGTTTTGTTTTTTCCTCCTGACAGCAGTTCCTCCAGCCGAGGCGTCCAGGCCGGGAACGCTGACTCTGCTCAGAGCTGGCAGCAGGGCAGCGGGGGGCTTTATACCGCTCTGACATCACACGGGGCCGGCCTGCCATTGGTCAGCCTGCAGGGAATCATGGGAGAGCAGAGGAGACATTTTATGCAACTCGTCACACCTGTCAGTCGCTTTACTGCTCAACACTGAGAGAGATGCAGAGAATATACTTTACTGGAGTAATGGTACTCATACCACAGCGTCAAAGTTAAAATCCTGTACTCAGAACTTTACTGCAGTAAAAGTACTTAAAGTAGTTAAAGTAAAGTATGTATAGTACATTAAAGTGTCCCATGCTGTCAGATAAATGCAGAGCAGTAAAAAGTACAATATTTCCCTCTGAGATGGACGACAAGGGAAAAGTAACATATAATAAAAGTAGTTAAGAAACAAGTAAGTGCCTTAAATATGTACTGGATTTAACTTGTGCAAAGTTTATTTTAGTCCGCAGTGACAGTGTTGATATTTTACGCCCTGATTCATCACTGCAGCTCAAAATAACATGAGACACCTGTGTGATGAGAACTGGGAGAAGAAGATTATATTTTATTAGTAAAATAATCCACACACTGTTAATCAGGTCCTGTTATCATAAATGCAACATCTCAGTCCGACAGACGTCATGAGTCATTAACTCCTCTTTACTTCAGCAGCAGAAACAGTCTGGTGTTACTTTAAAGTGTTTTGTGTGACATATTCAGAGTAGTGACATCATCATCCAACTAAACAGCAAAATATATTCTATACTTTTTTTTACTCTTTTACTGTCTCGTAGTCACAGACACTTTCAATACTGTCTCATCTCATGCGCTACAAAGCAGCCTCCTTCATTCATGGTTCTGATGATGTCACTCGTCATTAACACCCCTGCTTCTTTCACATAAACACGCTCCTGGCTGGATAGGAAAACCCAGAGTTGACTGAACTATCAATCAATCAATCAATCAATCTATCAATTTTATTTATAAAGCCCAATATCACAAATCACAATTTGCCTCACAGGGCTTTACAGCATACGACATCCCTCTGTCCTTATGACCCTCACAGCGGATAAGGAAAAACTCCCAAAAAAAAACCCTTTAACGGGGAAAAAAACGGTAGAAACCTCAGGAAGAGCAACTGAGGAGGGATCCCTCTTCTAGTTGATAACCAGCTTTGTAGCACCGGTTATCCAGACAGACAATGTGACTGGTTAGTCAAGCCAGACACCTGAAGCCAGTTCAACTTACCCAGGATATCTCCTTGTTATCTGGTGTGACTAACCCGTCACATTGTCCGTCTGGATAATCGGTGCAATGGTGATTTGTCCCGGTAAAAAGAGAACCGACTTCATAGTACTGAAAACCCAGAGTTAACCCTGATGTTACCTCGCTAACCCCAAATCCTGCTCCGTAGTACAGGCCTCAGAGGCCTGGACTTAAACAACATGCAGGTATCACTGAGTCTACATGACATTAGTACAGAGTATTTTCTGCTGTTTAGTTGGACAATGATGAAACTCCTCTGAATATGTCACATAAACACTTTAAAGTAAGTAAGTAACACCAGTCTGTTTCTGCTGCTGAAGTAAAGAGCAGTTAATGACTAATTATGTCTATCTGACCGAAATGTTGCATTTATAATAAGCCTCATCAGGAGTTGTCCTCACACAGGTGTCTCATGTTATGTTGAACTGCAGTGATGAATCAGAGTGTAAAGTAACAACACTATCACTGCAAAATAAAATAATCTTTGCATAAGTTAAAATCATGTGTTTAATGTGTAAATAATCTGTTTGTTAGAAGCTTTAACATACAGGGTCCTCTTTTTTACCTGTCACTCCAGACTTTTGTCCATGGACACTTTTTTCTTCAGTTATCTGATTGGTCAGAGGTCGGGCTGTTGACAGGCTGTGATCTGATACTCTGAAGTTAACCTGATCCAGAGCAGGTTAACTGTTCAGCATCAGTTACTATGGTGATTTATCCCAGTAAAAAGAAAAGAGAGTTAACCCTGAAGTTACCTCACTAACTCCAAATCCTGCTTCATAGTACAGGCCTCTGGTTAGTTATCAGAAATGTTATGTTAATATGTATATATATATATATATATATATTTATATATATACAAATGAGGCATCATCTAATTAAATATGCTCTGATTTGCATAAATTTCCAGAACAGATATCTCAACTAAAATAAGCCTAAATGTGTATTTTAGTTGTTTTCTTTTCACTAGTCTGTTATAAGACATGATACTGAAGCAAAATAGTCTGAAATCTGACACCTTTAACTACTGATTACAGGTACCTTTTATATTTAGAAACGTTTTACTTTAACTACATGAAGCTGGAAATACCTGTGTACTTTTACTACTTTAAGTACATGTACATTTTTCAACAGTTTGTAAAGCACTTCTCAGAGACAATGATAAATACTCAAACTAGCATGAATAACACTTAATGAACAAACTTTAACAAACTGAACATGAGCTGTATTTAAATATAGACAGAAGGTAAATTAAAACACTGATTCTAACAGCAGTATTGACTCCTCAGGATGGACTGTCATTAATAAGCTGCTGCTGATGATACAGATGTTCTCACCTGTCAGTGGGTCTGAACTCCTGCTGTCTGTCGGCACACATTAGCCATCAAGCTAACATTAGCTTTAGCTCTTCAAGCTAGCTCCTTTGGTGTACTTTAGGAAAAAACTCACTTTAAGGGACAAGTTTAAAATAGCTTCTCTACCTGTTAAGCAGCAGGGTGATAAGATGTGTTGCAGTGATGTCACAGGTGTCTTCTGTCCACCCGAAATGATCAAATGTTGGTCTGGCCGAAGCTAACGGTTAGCTAGCTGAGTTTCCTGCAGGCGGCGCTAGCTAACGTTAGCGCGGCAGACAGGAGGGGAGGAGAGGAGCGGTGCAGTCCGGACAAATATTAAATTTAAACATTGTTTATGTTTCTGACAAACTTTATATTAATCCAGACAGAAAACAGACATCTGTAGAATACAAAAATACACACACAAAAAAATGTGTAAACTGCTGCTGTATGACAGGTCTTAAATTAGAGTTTAACTTTTCCGCCATTTTGCGATTTACGAGGGAAATGCTATGTGAACGAAGGAGTGACGTAAGGCGTGGTGACGTCACATAGTTCAAGTTGATGAGACATATATTTTTTTTAAAATGATGATGATATTGATTGCAAAAACAGTTTATTTTGAATCTCTATTTTAGATCTTTATATCCTCTTTATTTAAATTTTATCTTTATTTTTTGCCACACACAACTGAAAATAGTAATTACACACTATTGAAACATTACAGGGGTTGAAGAAAGTAAAGCAATGAAAACAATTGAAATTTGTAAAGCTTTGTATACATAGATACCCCTAAGTATACATGTTTTTGGTCTTTTTGTTGTTGCTTTGTCCTTTTTTGTTTCTGGTTTTCTTTTCCAATTGTATAACTAGCTTTAGTTAAGATAACTGTATGCATTGAGCCTGATTCAATTAAATGTATAATATATATGTTCATTCTTTCATTCAGTTCCCATAACCACTTATCCTGTTGGGGGTCGCTGAGGGGGGCTGGAGCCTATCCCAGCTGACACTGGGTGAGAGGCAGGGTTCACCCTGGACAGGTCACCAGACTATCACAGGGCTGACACATAGAGACAGACAACCATTCACACTCACATTCACACCTACAGACAATTTAGTGTCACCAATTAACCTGCATGTCTTTGGACTGTGGGAGGAAGCCGGAGCACCTGGAGGAAACCCACGCTGACACAGGGAGAACATGCAAACTCAGCACACAAGGGCTCCTCCACCCTGGGGTTTGAACTCTCAACCTCCAGGGTTCAAACCAGGAACCCTGTGAGGTGACAATGCTAACCACTGCACCACCATGGAAAAATAAGTTCTAGTGCATATTAAATACAATGTAATAAATGACATAAATGGTGTAACGGTTTGTACATTCACACTCTGTTCAATGTAGAATTGTACAGCTAGCATTTTTTTCAGTTTATCCTCTACATTCTGGCTCATTGAGATTTTTCTGCTCACTTGTTCAAAGAAATAACCGAGGAAATTATTACAAATAATATAAACAACAATTAATCTGCATAGATGCTACAATTTGTGAGAATTTGGGGAAATGCCCAATATTAATGTCATTAATGTTTGTGAACATAATTGTACCAATTTTAGCGAGCAGTTATAGCTCTTATTTATCACGTGGTATTCAGGTGTAACAGCTGACTGTTTGTAAATATAATTTTGAATCAAACTGTAATTTCTGCTGTATGACTGACTTCAGCTACAGTGTTTACACGTACCTCTGGTTGGTTGATGATGATTAAAGCTCCCAAACTGCCACCACACCGACTGCAGCTGATGACTCTGTGAACAGTTTATTTTGAAATCAAAAGGTTCTTTTGAACAAAACTGAACTGGATATATATGATTAAATACAAACAGGACAGCGGACACACGAATGATTCATTTCTTTATTTTAAAGAAGAACAAACAAAAAGTAAATCAGTCCAAACAGGATGAGACCTGAAAAAAAACCTTTGCACGTTTTAATTGTCTTATATTTCAATTATTCTCTACATAAATACGTACAATTAGTTAACTGGTGGAGAGCACATAAATTGGACATTATCTCTGGAGACCACCTTAAACAATTACTTAATCTTTGACAGCTTAATTTTCTGTAATATAGCCTAGTGTTGAGGAAGATTGAAACCTGCATTAAAACCTAATGAATCCCCCAAAACCCTTGCTTAGTATCTAATCTACTAACACTGACATTAATATTAATATTAATATAATATTAAAAATGCACAAAAACCATCAGGAAATCCCTAAATTACTGGACTGAGGCTGAGACATTTTGAGTAAGAATTAATCTGTCTTAAACTGGGATTTAAGGGAAAACTTACACCTGTTAAGGTTAAATGATTCACAGCTCAAACACGTCATTATGATTTAACAGTTATATTCTACGGAGAGACAACAGATCAGCATTTTCCACTGCGGGACATAGAACCTTTTACTGTTGGTAAACAACATGGCGGGGTTTTTTTGGTGGGCGGGGCTTAGCTGGAGGCAAAAAAATTCTCCACAGACATTAGCTAGCGTCAGCTAGCAAGTTCTGTTGGCTTGTTTTAGACAATGTAGGAAGATGATGTGAGTGGTGCGTTCAGAAATAGGCTACTGATTCTGAGTGTCGGAGTGCACTCTGACACACACTGGACCGTTTGTAAATTCGTAACTGTGTGAATGTACCGTTCAGTTATCCAGAGCACCGCACTCTCAGAGCAGCAGAATGCCAGGCAGAGTGAATGTGTGATTAACTTAACCGTTGGTTCATTCATGTAGAAATATAACGCCCTGTTTCTTCCACCAACAGGGCTCTCATTTTAGTGTAGAGCGTCAGACTGAATTTACCAACGCACCATGTCAGGTCACTCACTCTCCGGGACCGCCAGTGTTACTTGAATAAGTAAACACTGACCAACGGGACCAGACTGGCCGACCCTTATGCTCTCACTCAGTGGATGGATGATGTCACAGGAAGCCAATCTTACAAAGGAGGACCACACTTGTTTGTTTACACATAACGTTATTCATCCCTACAACAGGAAATACTTTTTCCCTAACCTGATATGAAGTGTGCGCTGCACATGTGAGCATTTTTGACGATGGCCTCCGTCCAGTCCTTTGGTCTTATCACATTTAACCATAGTTGTCTTTGTTTTTGTTGACGGGCAGTGGCGGCTGGTTTTGAGCCATGACTCCTTCTATTCTGGCTCCCAATAACACAACAAGACAAACACATTTTAAGACTCCTGTGTAGCCTACAGCCCTGTGGGGGAGAGGCAGCTGCACCTCCAGATAATGAAATGATGTTATTGTGACGTCAATCCTAAAAGGGTCAATAAACAACCTGTAACTTCACATCATGAGTTCTGGTCAGCTGGTCTGGAGTCAGTCTCCTTCGCTGAAGTGATGCTGAGGTTTGAACGTCATGATGTGTAAATGTAGAGGAAAAACAATTTGTGTTCTGTCCCACAGTTACTCTCACCCTCCAAACACACAGGACAGAACCTTCCACAGAACCAGAGACTCATTGGTTCAGGTTCTGGTAAAGCTCCAGGTTTCAGGTGGTTCAGTTCCCACAGTAGAAAAGAGTCATCAGAGTAGAACCAGGTAGAGCAGCCACAGCAGAACACACAGCGTACCGAACCAGCTCTGCCAGTCCTCACTGATGATGTCAAACACTTCCGCCACTAGCCATTTATCACTGTTGTCTTTACGTTCAGCAGCCCGGGCCTCGTACAGCCCACCATAGGAGTCCAACGCCTCGGGGTTAAACAGGAAGTGTTTCTCGTCCTCGCAGGAGAGCAGCGCTCGGCCCGGGCCCGTGGCTGACACCTCTTCGTCTTTACACCTGAATGATGACAGGAAGTCAGACAGCTGGGGCACATGATGAGACGCCTTGTTGTCACAGTATTAGTCTTGTTGTGTTACAGGAAACCTGCCTGCATCACCAGACAGCCAGACTAAAGAATTGTGGGTATTACTTCTGTGGAGAACTGATATAGTGATGTGCAGCTGTTTGTATTTCAGTGTTTCACTACTGTCACAAACAAAATAAAACTATTAAAGGAATCACAGAACACACTGTTAACTCACAAACTTATTGGTTAATAATAGTAATTAAGTGAAAGTCAGAAAGTCAAACAGTGACTTAAAACAATGATAGTTAGCAAACTGCAATAAAACATGAACACACACTTTAAAATGTCACTTCATCTCCAAAACTACTTTTAAATTATAAACTGATGGTGACATCTGGACGTCAATGATCTTGTACGAAGGTCAGAGACAAACTAAGTTTAGGTGATGTAACATTTTGAATTAAATAGTTGGATCAACCAATCAGCTTGTTTGAGATTTGGAGCCAAAAACAATGAATGAAAACTTCGAACCACTGGAATACAAATTGTGTGTGGCAAACAAGCTAACATCAGTTAGTACCTCCTAGCTAATGTTAGCGCGACTTCCTCTTAAAAGCATGGCTCTAAAGCCTGTAAGCATGTTAACATCTTTTTTTATGAGCGTCTGTTTAGATATTGTTCTATTGTTTGGTTTAAGCAGTAACAGACTCTTTTACTGTTAGTAAACAGTATAATGTTTTTTGGTGGGCGGGGCTTAACTGGAGGCAAAAAAATTCTCTGTAGACATTAGCTAGCACTACCAATTTTTTTGGCTTGTTCGAGACAGTGGAGGAAGATGACGTGAGTGGTGCATTCAGAAATACCCATTTCGAGTGCCGGTGTGCACAAAATGGACAGTTCGTAAATTTGTAACGCTGTCAGAATGTGCCGTTCAGTTATCCAGAGCGCTGCATTCTCAGAGTGTCAGAGTGTTGGCTTGACACTCTGTCTTGGGAGATGGAGCAGCAGAGCGTCGAGCGGAGTGAATGTGTGATTAACTTAACTGTTCATTGATTCATGTAGAAATATAACGCTCTGTTTCTTCCACCAACAGGGCTCTCATTTTAGTGTAAAGCATCAGACTGAATTTACCAACGCACCATGTCAGGTCACTCACTCTCCGGGACCGCCAGTGTTACTTGAATAAGTAAACACTGACCAACGGGACCAGACTGGCCGACCCGTATGCTCTCACTCAGTGGATGGATGATGTCACAGGAAGCCAATCTTACAAAGGAGGATGACTTTTGAACACTTTCCTCCAGTTTGTTTTGCTATCGAAGCTAACGTTAGCTAATGTGCTAAAAAGATAATGTTACGGAGAAATCCAATATTTGTCTATTGGGCGAATGCTCTTGCAGATAGGCGGCTGTCAGGGCGCTTACTGCGCAGAGATGTGAAAGCAGCTTAATAACAATCATTTTCTGGAAGTTGGATACAGAACCTTTAAGTATTATTACTATGTGGATGAGTACAGGACAAATGTTTCAATCCCTTACGCCTGCATTAGCATGAGTCCTGGTTGATTTCTTCACCACTTCATCACTTATAAGGCTGTCCTCAAAGTGGAGTACAAACCACCATGTGGAGAGTACTTGTAGTGCAGGTTTACATCACTAATGCACAGCAGATAGCAGGAAAGTGACAGGAAAATACAGCTCGTTTGCAAGCTCTGCAGAGACTGTTAGTGAACTATGTATTTCAGTTTAATGCAGACACAAAAGAAGAAGCTGGGTACAATCCCCAAAGATCAGGGTCATGTTACTGCAGGTGTAAAGGGTGCCTCAAGGTTAGTTGTGTAGTTAATAATTTAATTAATCTTGTGTATTATTGTGGAGCTGATTATATGCTACCCACCAGGTGAGCGTGGGCTCTGGATGTGTCGTCACCTCCACCTCTAGCGTCACTGGAGAGCCCTCCATGACGGTAGCTCTAGACAGGGGCCTGGTGAACCAGGGAGGTCCAGGTTTAGAGGCTTTTCCCTGGGGAAGAGACTCTGCCTGTCCCTGGGGAAGAGGAGGAGGAGGAGGAGCAGGAAGGGGAGGCCATTGGATCTGAGGAGTAAGTCTGATTTCCTCACGGATGGCCACGGGCTGACAAATGTTTGGATCTTGCTCTGGAGTTAGTAGATGGGATGGAGAGGAAAGGGGTGTGACATGCAGATTAGCCTGCTGAGCCAAAGCTTGGGTCTGTGGTTTGGGCAGAGGAGGAGCAGCAGGCATGGCGGTGCTGCTGGGAGTCATGCCAGAGTCATGCACACACTGCTGGGTACAGGTGGAGGTCAAGGACTCTTGGAAGGAGTAGGCTGTCTGGTGGCTCTGCTTGCTCCTGAATATATCACTGTTGGTGATGGTGCTGCTGGATTTGCTGATATTGCTGACACTGTTTGGCTCTGGGGGAATGGGAGCATGGACCTCAGGTAGACCCCCACTATCCTGGGAGAAGGGGCTTAAATGCTGGGACCTGAGATTGCTGCTAGCCTGTGGCCAGGTGCAATGACTGTCTGGAGGGGAGGACTGAGAATAAACGCTTTGTTGGGTGACTGTAGTAGCTGTGGCAAGGCTGCTGCTTTGGGGCATGAAAACTGAGGATGTTTCTTTGCTGGTTTGTGAGGAAGGTCCATCCTGATCAAGGCCACTCTTGGAATCTGGGTAAGACAGTAAAAGATCTTGAGGGAGGCTTGTGGTGGTTTGGACGCAAGTTGCAGAGGATTTGAGGAGTCCGGTGTCCCGAGCCTTGTCTTTGTGGAGAAAAGAGTCTGTGAGGCTCTGAGCAAACCCTTTGACTTGGGGGACTCGATCAATCTGTGGCAAGATCTTACACTGGGATAAGGGGCTGCTGCTTCCCTTTGGCAATGTGCAATGGCTATCTAGAGGGGAGGGTTGGCAGGAAATAGTTTGTTTAGTGACAGAAGTGGCTGTGATGAGGCTGCTGTTTTGGGGAAAAATGGAGGATGTTTCTTTGCTGGTTTGGGAGGAAGGTCCATCCTGATCAAGGCCACTCCTAGAATTTGGGTAAGACTGTGAAAGATTGGTGTCTTGAGAGAGGGTTGTGGTGGGTTGGATGGAAGTTGCACGGGATTTGAGGAGCCCAGTCTCCTGACTCTTGTCTTTGCAAAAAATAGTGTCTGTGAGGCTCTGAGCAAATTCTTTAGCATTAGGGACTGGATCAATCTTTGGAAAGTTGTGATGACTGTCTGAATGGGAGGACTGGAAGTAAATGGGCTGCTGGGCAACTGTACTGGTGCTGGTGTTGGTGGGACTGACACTTTGGGGTTTGGAAGCTGGGGATGTTTCCTTCCTAGTTTGGAAGGAATTCGTGTCCTGATTTAGGTCACTCTCCTGACAAATGGAAGTGCCAAATTTGAGGGACCTAGTGTCTTGTGAAGGGTTCTTGTCCTTGCGGAGATCGGGGTCTGGACCATTAGAGTGCTGAGGACAAAAGGTGGACTGGGGCAGGGTGGTGCTGTGATTGATCTTTGCAAGCTGGTGAATGGGACCAGTCTGTGGAATGGTCTCATCACCATTTTGGGTGATCTTACCCTGAGTACCTGCACTCCTCTGAGGCTGGTTGTCCTGGATGTTGTGCTCCTTTAATAAGGGATCAGTTTGTGGGGGGCTCTTCTTCTCAGGGACATCTCTGTCTTTGTTGGAACAACTCTGAGGAGTGTTGCTCTTGTGGGCTGGGTTAGATCCAGAGGGGAAGCTTGGTTTGGGGTCGATGGTCTTTCCAGTCTTCAAAATGCTGCACAGAGTGCTGGTGATCATGTTAGGAGGTACTGTCAGTGGACTCTGGGCAAATGAACTGGACTCTGATCTGAACCTGTAACACACACAGCAGGAACAAACGTTGAGTTTAAAAGTGGTCTTTGTTGCATGTCCAAATTTTCCTTTTCCTGCCTCTTGTCCTACGCCACTATTAGATTACCCATTAAGGGGGATCTGTACTGAACCTCTATACTTTTTGACAAAATGTTCCCAGAATTATAGAAACACACAAATGAATCTTGTTTTGTTCTGAGATTTTTCATGGTACAGACCTGGTACTGCTGTGACGGCTGGTTGGAGGAGTTGGACAACTCTGGCTGGACTCTCTCCGTTGTCGGACTGCACCAGTGCCAGTGTGCTCTGGCTGGTGGCTGTACTGGTTGATGTGGACGCTGTGGGAGCTGAAACAGAAGCCTTCCTCAATGTCTGACTGAACCATGAAGGACTCTGGCGTCTCTGCCAGTGGCGGCAGGGAAATGTCATCAGGTGACACACAATCGTATTCATCATTAGAAAGAGAATCCTCAGTCATGGCTTCCTGTTGCTGAAGCTCTGCCTCCAATAGGCCTCCTGCTGATGCATCCTGGGAAAAAAGGGTCAAGTATTAACTGCTGCTGATATTTTAACACTCACTTCAACAGGAACAGGGATTTTTGCAGACTTTGTTACATTTTTTTGTCCATACTATATCTGATTCAACATCAAGTAAAACAAAATGCTAAAACAACAAGACAACCAGAACATTACAGTACAACAGTACAATAATTTGGAGCATAGTAGAAAATAAACCCAAAATGGGTTAAAAAAAAATCAAGGGCATGGACTACTTTCTCATAATTTAATTTTAGCCATTTTTCTTAGCTAAAGGAAGTATCATTTTACCATGCTGGAACCTTAAAAATAGACGGGCGACAAAATACCTTAAATATAACTCAGACTTCTCTATATTGCAGGGAAAACAACCAAGTGAAAAGGCGGGACAAACAAAAGAAGTTCAAGCTTTGATTAATTTAGTTACAGGAGCTCTTAGCTAAAGAGTTGGGCAACATTTTACAGTCACCAGGATTAATGGGAACATACAATCGTGTATCCTCTGCACAAACACTAAAATTAAATCAGTATATTTGAAACATGTGGCCTGGTAGCAGGATTTAAATGGAAATCAAAGAGGATCTAAAACCGAGCCCTGGGGGACGCCACATGAAAATGAACTCTTTGATGATTAACCTGAAGCGGTGTCATGTTTGAAGCATGGTGCGCCTCCTTCCTCTGAAATTCCCTCTGGATGTCTGAGAATGATGGGCCAATCACACATGGAGGGGGCGTGGCCTCAATGGTGGCAGGCTGTGATTGGCTGTGTATGGCGTGGACCCATCGGTTGGCCTCTGCTGGGGAGCAGGAGAGGCTGAAGGTATGGGTGGAGCAGTAGGAAGAGGCAGAGTATTGTCTGAAGGAGAGACAACACGATGAAAATTACTTGTACAGTTCAGGGTTTTGTACAATGTTGTTGTTCTATGAACAAATAAAATGATTACAACTTCGATTTTGGGGGACTCTGAGGTGTTCCCAGGCCAGATGAGATTTATGATCCCTCGAGTGTGTTCTGGGACTGCCCCAGGGCCTCCTACCAGTGGGACATGTCCAGAACATGTCCAGCAGGAGGTGCTCAGGATGCACTCTGATCAGATGCCCGAACCCCCTCAACTGAACCCTTTCAATGTGAAGGAGCAGCAGCTCTACTCTGAGCTCCCTCTGGATGTCCAAGCTCCTCACCCTATCTCTAAGGCTGAGCCCAGACATCCCACAGAGGAAACTCATTTCAGCCACTTGTATCCAAGACCTCATTCTTTCAGTCACTACTCAGAGCTCATGACCATAGGTGAGGGTTGGGACGTAGTTGGACCAGTAAATCGAAAGCTTTGTGCAGTGCCCGCATCACTTCAGATGCTGCGCCAAACCACCAATCCATCTCATGCTCCATTCTGCCCTCACTCATGGACAAGACCCCAAGATACTTGAACTCCCTCGGTTGGGGCAGTAACTCTCTCCCAACCCGAATTGAATTGGCACAGTTTGGTATAAATATTCATGTGTCCCAGAGGATGAACCATAATAACTTTAACGGTTCTCTGACTTTTGTATTGTGATAAAATGTGTTCATTGTTTATGTTCCCCAGAGGATGAATCATAATGACTTTGGTGATCCTTCACTCAGTGTACCTGTTCTCAGCAGCCTCCTGACTGCGGATCTTCTGTGATGGAGGCTTCCTACTGGCTGTGGTCTCCCTCTTCACGTGAACCTCCTTCCCATCATGCTCAGTGGTCAGTTCAGGGGTGTGACCTGTTTCCTTCAGCTCATACTGACAGCACAGAACAGAGTCAGATGAGCTGATTATCAGATATATCTTTCACATTTTTTATAACCTCTTTATTGCAGGTCTTATTGTAAATGTTTAAATGATTTTTACCATGTCAGGCGCTTCCTGTGTGCTGCGGTTATCTGTCTGCTCCTTCTGCTTTGTCTTCCCTTTTTCATTTAACTTCTCTTTTTCCTCATCTTTCTCTTCATCTTCCTCTTCATCTTCCTCTTCGTCTTCACCTTCGTCTTCATCTTCATCTTCATCTTTCTCTTCCTTTATCTCTTTCTCCTTGTCATCCTGCTGCTGTTTGAGACTCTCCAGCTGTGACATCAGTGCACATTTAAACACTCATTAAAATGAATAATATGCTGATCTTGTTATTTTTATCAGTATCTACAGAATGTTTTTATGATTTTTTGCCTTACAACATTAAATCAACGTAGATTTAAAAGAATAGTTTGGATCTTTTGAAATGGGGTTGTTTGAGGTACTGATCCAGAGTAGTAGAGGTCAGTCGGCACGCCTACAGTTTGGAGAAGCAGACAGGAGTACGGACACAGAAGCTATTCAGTGTACTGCTGTGGATGGCATCAGCAGCAAAATGTATTTTAGACACCTGAAGATATCAATATCAGTTCAAGTGTACGCTGTATTTTGAATATTTCCAATGCTTTACCTTTCTGTCAGACAGTGATTTCTGATGGCAAACTGAAGCTGAAGCACTTTCTACAAAGCCAGACTCCACTGAGAAAAACAGTGATTTAACAGTGCTGAACACAGGATCTGCAAGTGTGCTGCTGCTTCGATTATTTAGTTAGTTAGTGTTATTGTGTGACTCTGGTGTTTTAAAGGGTTAGTTCAGATTCACTCAAGTCACACAATTACACAAACAAACCAACTGATCAAAGCAGCAGTAGGCCAGCAGCTCCTGTGTTCAGCTACATTGAATTACTGTTTTCTTAATGGAGTCTCGTGGCTTTGATGAGCTGTCTGACAGCAAGGTAAAGCAGTGAAAATACTCGCGATATAGCTTACATTTAAGCTGATATTGATTTTTTCATTGGCTAAAATACATTTAATTGCTGACCTGTCCACAGCTGTACATTGATCAGCTTCTGTGTAGTAGTACTTCTGTCTGCTTCTCCAAACTGGAAGGTATGCTGACTGACATCTACTGTAGGTAAAACACCGACTCTGGATCCGCACCTCATACAGACCCACTTCAAAAGATCTAAACTACCCTTTTAATGTGGCAAAAGAAAAATAATCTTTAACATCAAAATGAAAACAAAGTGATCTGAATTACTCCCAAATATAAAATGAGTGTGTACAGTGTTCAGTTACCTTCAGTTTGGCCTCCAGTTTCATCAGTCCGTCACTCAGTTCTCTGATGGACTCCACCATCTCTGAGTGTTTACCGACCGTCTTCTCTATGTACCTCCGCCCTTCCTCCACCCCTATAACACACACAGTTTAAATAATGAGGTAAATGTGCTGGATCAGTGGTTGAAATGGTAAATTAATCATTTTGATAAAAGATTCAATAGCACGGTTACTAAATTGACCAAACCAATCTAAAAACTGATTGTATGAACTACACTCTAACGCTTAACACTTTAATAGTGTTAATTAACGTCCAGCTGAAGTGTACACAGTGGGAACATGACAGACGTTCATCTGACAGGACTCAGGAGGTACATCTGCTAAAAACAGTGTAGTAACAACTCGATCACACAGCTTCCAGGTTTATCTGCCATTTCAGAATAAAAGCATCTCTTCCTTTGTCCTCACCGTGCAGCCTGACAGCCAGCTCAGTGATCTGACTGATCCTCTCCTCCTGCTGAGGAACCGTCGGCCACACAAACTTCTCAAACTGTCGGTAGAGAACAGAGACGGCCTCTGTGCTGCGACACTCTAAGGAAAACTTCCCGACGCGAGCGATGGTCGCACTGGCGTCCTCACACCAGAACTGATACTGTAGATATAAACAACATGTTAACAACATGCAGCTCATAATTACAAACAAAAACAGCCGCTCAACAAATAATGATTGAATCACCTCCTCCATGGCCTGTTGCAGCCTGCAGGTCATCTCCAGTGTTTTTTGGTGTTCGCTGACACTTCGCTCAAACTCTCCCATCTGTCTCTGCAGTTCATTGATGGTGTCCTCCGCCTCCCTGGCCACACCCCCATCCTTGACCTCTGACCCCAGCCGGGCTGTCACTCCCTGCAGACGTTTCCTGAGCGCCTGCAGAGTCAGGAAGAGTTGCATGTAAGTTCTTCATGTCATTTATTACATGAAAGTCACATGTAAGGTCACAGAGTCAGGTATTTTGTCACCCATCTGTTTTTATGTAACCTTATAATATTTGTGCAAAACAAACCTAACCCTGGGTTGGACCCCTTTTGCCTTCAGAACTGCCTTAATTCTTGGTGTCATAGACTCAACAAGGAGCTGGAAACATTCCTCACATGATGACATCACACAGTTGCTGCAGATTTGTCGGCTGCACATCCATGATGAGAATCTCCCGTTCCAGCACATCCCAAAGGTGCTCTATTGGACTGAGATCTGGTGACTGTGGAGGCCATTGGAGTACAGTGAACTCATTGTCATGTTTGAGATGATGTGAGCTTTGTGACATGGTGCGTTATCCTGCTGGAAGTAGCCATCAGAAGATGGGTACACTGTGGTCATAAAGGGATGGACACGCTCAGCAACAATACTCAGGTAGGCTGTGGTGTTTAAACCATGCTCGGTTGGTACTAAGGGGCCCAAAGTGTGCCAAGAAAATCTCCCCCACACCATTACACCACTAGCAGCAGCCTGAAGCGTTGATACAAGGCAGGATGGATCCATGCTTCCATCTGAATGTGGTTTTTCCAATCTTCTATTGTCCAGTTTTGGTGAGAAAACCCGTGTGAATTGTAGCCTCAGTTTCCTGTTGTTAGCTGACAGGAGTGGCACCTGGTGTGGTCTTCTGCTGCTGTAGCCCATCTGCTTCAAGGTTGGACAAGGTGTTGTTGCTTCAGAGATGTTCTTCTGCACACCTTGGTTGGAACCAGTACTTATTTGACTTCCTGTTGCCTTTCTATCATCTTGAACCAGTCTGGTCATTCTCCTCTGACCTCTGGCATCAACAAGGCATTTTGGCTCACTGGATATTTTCTCTTTTTGGGACCATCCTCTGTGAATCCTAGAGATGGTTGTGCTGAAAATCCCAGTAAATACTCAAACCAGCCCGTCTGGCACCAACAACCATGCCACGTTCAGAGTCCCTTAAATCACCTTTCTTCCTCATTCTGATGCTCGGTTTGAACTTCGGCAGGTCGTCTTCACCATGTCTATGATTGGCTGATTAGCTATTTTGAACAGGCACATCTAAGAAAGTGGCAGGTAAAATGTATGTTGTTTGGCACCATAACAATTGATAAACAGTGCATCTTCTCCTGCATCATAGAAATCTTTAAATCTGATGCTGAAGACTTCGTTACACAAAATGTTACATGAAATTTGGGGTTTTGAAAGTTTTTTTTTTTTTGTCATTTTGCTTTTATTGGATGGATAATAGCAGCGAGTTACACAGGAAACAGACAAAGAGAGGAGTATGGTATAAAACGCTGGGATGTGGCATGCACCTTAACCGGCGATCCCCCAAACCTCACCTGCAGCTTCTCCTCGTACAGCTCCACCTGCTGCAGCTGGTTCCTGACGGCCTTCATGTTCCTCATCCTGTCGTTTCTCTTCAGGTAGTTAAACCTCAGGTTGCTGAAACGCTTCTTCAGCTCCTTAAAGGAGTCACGAAGCTGAAAATTAAATAGCAGAAAATCCGTCAGGTTGACAAAAGGAATTTCAATTTCAATTTAATTTAAATGGCTAGTTAGGTAGACAGATCTGTTGTGCAGCAAGCAAATACTTTAGGTCCCGATCACACAGAAAGCGTTTTGCAGGTTGCAAAACATGAAGCGCACTGCTTTTTTAAAAAATGGAATGCCACGAGTGAAAAAAATGTCTGCTGCGCCTTTTTATTGTTGCCAGGCAACCACCCAGTCACCTCCTTACCCTAACCTTCCCGTGTAATCATTATTCATTAGTTAGTATCTAGTTCCTGACATGTTGAGGCAGAGGGTACTGTCTGTAGCTCTGGTTGAGGGTGAGAGGCTGTCAGCAGATAAACAGAGATCTGTGTGGGTACATGAGACCCTAAAAAAGAGGCTGGATCATGGGGAGTACCACCAGTTGGTCCAGGAGCTTCTGCTCCATCATGGACGTTTCCAGGCATATTTTAGGATGACTCTAGGGCAGTTTGACAACCTGCTGTCTATCGTCAAGCCGTATAGCTCTGGGTATCCAGCAACCACTACCACCAGTTTCTCCTCCATTGTTTACCAACTGTAAACTTGCTGTCGTGACACCGCAGAAGGCCGGCCTCTCAAATCACCTGATTGGATAATGGGAAAAACAACGAGGAAAAAAGAGATGACGTGGGCGCTTTTCCACTTTAAGTTGAAGTTTTTTCAGATGGAGGCGTTCAGAGCACTGGCAAAAACGGCAGTCATTCAGAGTGCAGAAACGTAAGGCACGTCACAACACAAAAACAGTGAGCAAAAAGCTTCATTCACAATAAAAAAATTACAAAAAGGCGCCTCCAGCTGCTAAAACACTTTCTGTGTGATCAGGACCTTACTGTGTTGAGTCGTTGGATTCTTTATGTGTGTATAGTACTGTCAGGTGGTTGGCCTGAAATATATCATTGAAAAATATCGGATGGATTGCCATTTTGTACACACGGTCATGTTCCCAAGAGGATGAATCTTACTGACTTTGGTGATCCCCTGAATTCTCCTCTAGTGTCATCATGAAGATAATGTTTTTTGTTTTGAGGCAAATGTCTCAACATCTGTCAGATGGATTATGATGAAATGTGGTTTACTGTTCATATTCCCTTAGGATGAACTTTAATAACTTGTGATCCTCTGACACTTCATCTAGTGCCATCATGAGGTCAACATTTCCCGCAAAAAAGACATTCACATCCAAATTAAAAACATAAAACGTCAACCTCATGGTGGTGCTAGTTGAGAAGCTACTATGGTACATCATCTGGGAACCAGAGTCGTTAACATATTTCCCTGAAAGCCAAAATATTAACCTGCTGGTGGCGCTAGAGCTAAAGTGACAGAATCCCAGACAGTAGGATTCATCCTCTGGGGAACAGGAATGTTCAGTTTCATGACAGTTCATCCAAAAGGTTTGAGACATTTTGCTAAAAACTGAAATGTGAACCTCATGGTGGCACTAGAGATGAATTCAGGGGATTGCAGAATTCAGTAATAATCATCTTCTGGGGATCATGAATGTCTGTAAAAAAAAAAAAGTATGGCAATCCGCCAGATTGTCGATGTGTTATTTGAAACACTGCTACCATTACAACAATGCTGCTAGCATGACTAAAATAGTTTTCCACATTACATTTTGCTGTATACAGCCTTTATCTTCTGTCAGAGATGTTGTATATGCACTCTACTCAGCTTGGTGTTGATGTAACTGTAAGTCGATGGAGCTTTGATGAGATTATTTTTAGAGCAGGAGGGTTTAAATCCAGAGAGACATTTCTGCCTCTAACAGGAGGAACAGCGGTGTCAGATGGCTGATCTGTCAGCTGAGGACAGCTGAGAGAGACTGAAGCAGTCAGAGACACTGTGGTCTATTGGTCAAACAGATGAAGACATTGAAATCAGAGGCTGAGGAGGTTGGACTGTTTTTCTAACATCGAGGTGGAGTAAGGTTCAAAAGTCGTCTGGGGAAACCCTGGATTGAGCAACTGTGAGGAGCACTGAAATAACAAAGGTTACATGGAAGGTAACCCAAAAACTACCAGGAGGAAGATCCAATGAGTTTACAATGATGAGAATCATGAGGTACTTCAGATATTACCATTAAGTACTACAAAGTAACAAAGTACCCCAGACTATCAGGAAGTTTCATTTCTTACACTTATACAATTACATTAAAGTACCACAAACTGTCCTAGTACCATAAATAACTACTAAGGACCTCAGAAGAGCATGTAGTACCCCAAAAGAGTACTACAAAGTACTGTAAAATACTCCAAAGTATCATTAAGTATCTCAGAAGAACATAAAGCACACTGACCTAACCCAAAGGACCAAGAGACTCCAAAAGAGATACCCATACAGCACCAAGAACAAAGTACCATAAAGTACCTATTAAAGTATCCCAGAAGATGAAACGGGGCAATGAACTACACCTAAGGACCACAAAGAACTCCAAAGAGATTACAGAAGAGTACGAGAAAGTATCACAAAGTAATATGAAGTATACCAGAGAATCATGAAGTAAACCAGAAGGTCATAAAAAAATCATTACCTCAAAGGACAACAAACTGTCCCAAAGTACAATGAAGTAACTATTAAGGACCCCAGGAGATCATGAAGTACATTGAACTACCCCAGAGGACCAAGGGACCCCAAAAGAGATTATCATACAGTACCAAGAACTACTACAAAGCCATGAAGTACGCTAGTAGACCATGTATACCCAAAAGTACTGCAAACTGCAACAGTGTACCATGAACTACCTACAAAAGTATCCCAGACTACTATACAGGGCAATGGACTACATCTAAGGACCATCAAGTACCCCATAGAGATTTATTGCAAAGTACAAAAAAATGCCACAAACTATCATGAAGTATCCTGATGTATTATGAAGTACACCAGAATATGATGACCCCTCCCCCCCCAAATGATTATGTAAATACCCCAAAAGTACTGTAAAATATCTCAGAAAACAAAAGTACAATAAACTACCAAGAATAACATGAAGTACCAGTAAAAGTATCCCTCCCTCCGTCCTTAGGACCCTCGCAGCTGTACCCACGGTGAACTCTTGGTACACAAATCTAATTCAGATATCTTTCAGAGTTCAGCTGGCGGACTCTGTGATGAAGTGATCCTCTGATGATTGTTAATGACAACCAGAAACACTCTAAATGTCTGCAGTGAGAATAACCAACCCACCAAGAAACAAAAATAGAACCAGTCCTCAACAACAAGTTTGTTTTTAATAACACCTCATCCAAACACAGATGGGTGTAGATCCCCTTCAGGTGATTCAGCGATGTGCACACAAACAAGTCACTTCTTCTCTTTACCCCCGAGGTCACCCTTCATCCCTCCGACTGAGTGTTGATGGTGGAGTTAGTTGTGGTGTCCCATTACAGAACTTCTCAGCTTCACTTTGTGAACAGTTAAGCCCTCCAACTGGAAATGGTTCCCCGCTGATACTGTCACACTTTGAGAAAGGTTCAAGAAAAACAGTCTTGGTGTGGTGGTAGTATGCACTTTCAGTCAGCAGCCGTAAGTGCATACTACAGTCACACCAAGTCTTCAGAGGTGCTCAGTCATTGCCATAGGTACTACCAATCTTGAGCTCTTGATGCTGTAACTGATCTGAGTGTTCTACTGAATGTTTCTCATCATGAATCACATTAGCAATCTTTTTGAAACAAGAGAACTCACTACATGACCTGGTGAATTCAGTGGTGGGTAATCCATAATGAAATGGCTTAGTGGAGCTTTAAATGTAGCTCAACTTAACTGTGCATGTAAACGTACTGAGTGAGTCTGAAGTCCAGCTGCTCCTGCAGGTTTCACTGTGCTCCTGATACGCAGCACCAGGTGCATGATGGGAAATACCCAGTGGCTGACTCGGCCTGTATTTCTGATCTGACCCCCACCCCCCTGCCCATGCCTTTAGCAGCTGCTGCTCAGTGACACAGCAGATTGAACCAGTAGCACCAGTAAAGTTTTTACATTCTATGATTTAATTTTACTGGAGCCAGAAAATAATTTCAGCATCATGTGAAGTCAGTCAACACAAACACAGACCAGAAACAAACTACGACGGCCTGTGAGCTAACAGCTAGCATGATAGCCAACCTGGAACATGCTCCTGTCACCAGTCCATCACATAAGTTATCTAAACTAGCTGACGAGCTTGCTAAATAAGTCACAGGCAGAGTGTGTTTATCCCACGGACATATTTGTACCACTCAGTCTTATTGCTGTGTGAAGAGTCAGTCCATTTATCATTTCTGGAGCAGTTCATCCTCCAATAGGATGTTAAACACAAAGCTAACAGGCTACGACTCAGTTTGGACTCAGCATTTAATCAGTGAATTTGGCATTTCACCAAACTTGAATGTGACACTAAAAATTTGCCTTGAGGAAATGTTCAGTATTAGCTCCACTGACAGACAATTCACTCCACCTCTCTCTGACCCGACATTTCACCAATGGTACCATAAAGGCGTACAATTAATACTAGACCTAGGGGCTGTACACATGGCACATTTTTTTGCGCCCGAAATTCATTGGGATCATCATCAGCTATCTTTCCCACCTTCTGTAAATACCATTCCGTGATAAATATGGTGAAGAATTTGATCATTTTAGTGTAGGGCTACCCAGAGCTTTACATCTCTTCCACAGACAATAAGCCTGCACTCAAACAGCTCCTGGAAGAAGATCAGCTCTGCACTCAGGATTTCAGGTAAATAGGCTATGATACAGTGTTTCTTGAGGTTGCTTAGTAACCACAGATGCAACCTGACACCACACTCTTGAAAGCTGGCACACAAAAGACACAAGAGTGGAGCCCAGTGCCTGACCTTGCGTTTTCCAGGCGGTTAAAGGCGTGGCATGTGTACGGCCCCTTATTCACTGACAAAATCTTCTACAAAATCAGGAAAAAACACTGATTTTTTTTTGTTAAAAGATCATTTCCATCCTCTCCCAGTGAGCCATCTGATTCTACAATGGATGCATAGTTTTCATCTAATCCTTCAACCAAAAGAGCCATACCCAAAATTGAAGGCCCACTAACACAAACAGATTGTATGACCACACTGGACCACAGAGAGGTCCAGTAGGATGACCTAGGGGTGGAAATTAACGTACTTCCGTGGAGAAAGGCCACAGAACACGTCCAGTCCTCTTCTTTACTGGACATGGATTGCTGCAATTCAAAATATTACACACATTCACACCTATTAACAATTTAGAGTCACCAATTCACCTACATGTCTTTGGACTGTGGGAGGAAACCGGAGCACCCGAAGAAAACCCACACTGACATGGAGAGAACATGCAAACTCTGCACAGAAGGGCTCCCCTACCTCTTGATGTGAGGCGACAATGTTAACCACTGCACCACCATGCCGCCAGGATTATTAATCACTGGACTAAAATATTTCAAACTCTGTCTGAGGTTTTACAGAAATCTCCTGAACCCACCCAGTTCTCGCAGTTTTTGGAGTGAAAGCAGTTATGACAGAGATGTCAAATATCCAATATAACATGGTACGCTGTGTGATATTGCTGGCACTTCGACTGATTTTGTTAAAATGGAAACAGAACATGTTAAATCTTCTGAGTAATTAACTTCATCTAATTTGTTTTCACAGAGAGAAGTTGGGGGTTGTCCATTCACTTCAATACAGTTTATTTGAAGCAGCACCTGGTGGACATTAGAGGAACTGCAGCTGAACATGTTTCAATCATGGATGTGTAAAGAGACCTGGATACAGCGTTGGGGGGCGGGGCCCTGATCATTACTATGAAACTTGCTCAGCGGTGCATGAAGCATAAAAATGTTTAGCTGCCGCATATAAAATTACCTGGATGATTTGCACTACTTGTGATGGCCCAACAAATTCTGATAGTGAAACAATTGATTTTGGGGTTTTGGTGCTCAAAAAAATGTATCCACTGGTTCACAGACGTCTCTTTCCCCGTGTAAGTCTACGGGAAAAAGTCTTTTTGTGCCCAACAGCATTATGTGTCAGACCTGGCAGTTTAATTTCACTGTTTAGCCACGATAAAAATTGGCTTCAAAGCCCGGCACATTTCCTGAGTTCCTGCGTTCAATCCAGAAATATGAGGGAACTTTTTTGTTCACTGACTACAGCTCTGCTTCTCCTACAAACTGCTGCAAGACAGAGACCCATCAGGTCCAGTTTTTGATACAGAGACTCCCTCAGTGAGCTGAGAGACTTTATGGACCGCATTAAAATCTAAAAGTGTCCTGCTGACTTCAGTTATATTTAGACTCTGATTAAACTGAGCCAGCGGCTGCTTTACAGCGGAGACGTCCATGTGGAGGCTGGTGGAAAAGTTCCCTTAGAAAAGTATTAAATGATTTGAATTTCAGGTGTTTCTTCAGATAAATTGATTAAAATTAGCTATGAAGGGTTGATTTAACTCCAAAATATGAAATATATCAGTTTAACTTCGAGTTTACAAAAACCTACAGTGTAAGTGAAACTTATTTATAGTCTGAAACTTTAGAGATTTAAACAATCCAGTAACTCTTTTCATGATATTTTTCCTGTTAGTTTCCTGTAAAGAAATACCATATTTTGATACACTTCAAAGTTTTCAGTTATAAATAACTTTAGAATATAAATAAGTTTTTCCTTTGAGGAGATTTCTGTTTTTCCTTACGTCTTTACAGGAAACACCAGATTAATTAATTTGGGAATAACAGAGCAGTAAAATAAAACATAATTTGGTTCTCTAACTGATCTGACTCTGATACAGACTGAGTCCTGCTGCTGGTTCAGTCAGACAAACAGACAAACAGACAAACAGACAGGAGGCAGCAGCTCCCTCTGCTGGACAAACTAGTGAACAACATCATTCTACACTGGCTTGAAGACTGTAACCACTGCATTAATCTCTTCAAGGCTCAACTATTGCAACTCTCTGTGCTTGGGTATCGGCCAGTCGTCTTTGTCTCACCTGCAGCTGGTGCACAACGCTGCAGTGAGACTCATTGGTGCCAGAAAAAGAGACAGCATTACACCAGTGCTAACATCCCTGCACTGGCCACCTCTCAAATACAGGGCTGATTTTAAGGTTATTTTATTTGTTTTTAAAGCCGTACATTGGCAGGCACCCTAGTATATTGCTGAACCTCTCTGCCCCTACTCCAACTCCCAACCTCTGAGATCCTCATAACATTGTCTTTTAACTGTCCCACGATCTAGACTGGTGGGTAAGGGAGATTATGCCTTTGCAGTAGCTGCTCCAAAACTCTGGAATAGCCTCCCGCTGTCAATCAAATGATAATATTTTAGTATTTCATAATCTTTTTTACATATGGTATTGTTCTCAACAGTTTTATTCTGTTTAATATTTGTGTACATGTTATATATATATATATATATATATATATACAACCTGGAACCCACAAGGGAAAAGAAAGCCAGGAAGACCAAGAAAGAGCTGGAAAAGGTCTGTCGAGGCGGAACTCAAGGACACAAGAACATCCTGGAAGGAAGCAGAGAAGATCGCCCAACACCGAACTAGCTGGAGGAAGTTCATGAATGACCTATGCTCTCCAAAGAGCAAAAGGGTTTAACTCAAGACATGTTATATTGCTATATATCTGTGTGTCATTCCGTTAATTTGTACAGCACTTTGGTCGACTGCGGTGGGTTTTAAATGTGCTACATCCTGAGTCAGGTGTTACCTGCCCAGGTACCAAACCTGACTCCAGGTGAAAGGAGTCTTTTTCAGGAGCACCTGTGACCTGTGACCTCACCTGGGCGATGTCATCGTTGAGGAGGCAGGTCAGCAGCTGTCTGCGGAGCTTCTCTTCCCGTTGAGCTGCTTCGTTCAGCCACGAGACATGAAGTGAGTCCAGAGAGTGAAGACGAGTCTCCAGCTGCTCCACTCTGAAACCTGTCCAATCCTGACACAGGTACACAAAGTACTCACCACCTGTACTCAAGTAGTCGTACAGTACCCAAGTATTCTCATCTGCATGTGGTTTGAGTTCTGGATCCAACACACAAATTAAATCTGAATCTGTATGAAATACCTCTAAATTGTGGCAGTACTTGAGTAAAGTACTCACAGAGTGTTTGAGGGCGGAGGAGATGTCTGTCTTCAGTTTTGACGCCGTTTTATACAGACTCTGGATCTGCTGACTCTGCTCGGCCTCACTGGATCCAGTAGAACCAGTTAAAGGCTCTGACTGGAGCAGCGCCTCCAGCTGGACACACACACAACACACACTCCAATTAGCTGGTTGGAGGTTTACAGATTTTATCTCTGATCATGTGGAGCCAATTAAACTTTGTAAAATAAGCTCCGCCCTCCTCTGACCTGTCTGGCTGTGAGGTGGAAGCGTTCGCTGAGCATCAGGATCGACTCGCTCTCGTTGATCTTGTTCTTCATTCTCTCCTGAAGCTCCAGCAGCTCTGACAGTTCCTCCTCCTTCACTGCTCCTCCCTTCAGCTCCTCCACCTCCAGCCTGTCCTGGACTCCTCTCACAGTCTCCCAGTTCTTCACCAAGAACTCCACCTCAGCGTCCAGCTGCTGCAGAGAGGAAGAGACAGAGTCTATGCTGTAACACCGAAGGTCAAGTCCTCCCTGTGGTCCAAACTTTATCCAAAGTTTCACCTACAAGTTGTCCACAGACTTCAGCGAGACCCAGTGGTCCCAAAGAGTCCTACAAGGTCAAAAGTCCCTGTTGTTCGGAACGATATCTACCAGTAACCATCGCCCAACAATCACAGCTGTCCCAGGAGGTCTATTGGTGATGGACCACAAGGACTCCTGGGACAGCTGTGATTACACTGCCATCTGTCCCTGCAGTCCAAAGGTACCCAAAGTCCAAACTGTTCAAAGTTCCCAGTGGTTTCAAAAGTCCCAGGAGAGTAAAATCAGAGGACTTACAGTAAAATGTGGTTTGGCCTGAGCAAAGCGCTGCAGCAGTCTGGAGGTCTGCAGGTCTGAACCCAGATCCATCAGAGTGCACGAGTCCAACATCTCAGAGACACTCGTCAAGTCCTGCACAGTCTGAAAACACAGTAGTAGTAATGAGTACCCTGTGGTGTAATAGTGAGTACCCTTTGGTGTAGTAATGAGTACCCTGTGGTGTAATAGTGAGTACACTTTGGTGTAGTAGTAATGAGTACCCTGTGGTGTAATAGTGAGTACCCTTTGGTGTAATAATGAGTACCCTGTGGTGTAATAGTGAGTACACTTTGGTGTAGTAATGAGTACCCTGTGGTGTAATAGTGAGTACACTTTGGTGTAGTAGTAATGAGTACCCTGTGGTGTAGTAGGGAGTGCCTTGTGTTTCAGTAGTGAGTACCCTGTGGTGTAGTAGTGAGTACCCTGTGGTGTAGTAGGGAGTACCCTGTGGTGTAGTAGGGAGTGCCTTGTGGTGTAGTAGTGAGTACCATGTGGTGTAGTAGTGAGTACCCTGTGGTGTAGTAGGGAGTACCCTGTGGTGTAGTAGGGAGTACCTTGTGGTGTAGTAGTGAGTACCCTGTGGTGTAGTAGGGAGTACCCTGTGGTGTAGTAGTGAGTACCCTGTGGTGTAGTAGGGAGTACCCTGTGGTGTAGTAGTGAGTGCCTTGTGTTTCAGTAGTGAGTGCCTTGTAGTGTAGTAATGAGTACCCTGTGGTGTAGTAGTGAGTACCCTGTGGTGTAGTAGGGAGTACCCTGTGGTGTAGTAGTGAGTGCCTTGTGTTTCAGTAGTGAGTACCTTGTAGTGTAGTAATGAGTACCCTGGGGTGTGGTAGTGAGTACCCTGTGGTGTAGTAGTGAGTGCCTTGTGTTTCAGTAGTGAGTGCCTTGTAGTGTAGTAATGAGTACCCTGTGGTGTAGTAGTGAGTACCCTGTGGTGTAGTAGGGAGTACCCTGTGGTGTAGTAGTGAGTGCCTTGTGTTTCAGTAGTGAGTACCTTGTAGTGTAGTAATGAGTACCCTGGGGTGTGGTAGTGAGTAC